TTATTTTTTGGTTTTTCTGGCCAATCACTCATTAGATTATTGTATTTAGTTGTTTATCTTTATTACATCGTACTCTTCGATTTTCACTTAAGCTTCTAGATTACAATCTAGAATAACACGTGGTTGCAACCACCTGTTGGTAATCTGTCATCTAGCGGTGATTAAGAGGCTCGACTTAAGTAATGTCGATACTATTCTAAAGTAAAGTAAAGTCCCTAGAAACCGTACCCTTTATCACAACAATGTACTTTTACTTTTACCTAGATTTATTTGTATCCCATAAAGACATAATGAATAGAAGCAAATAAGTAGCAAGACTAAGTCTAACTGCCGTACTCGAAGACGTAAATGATTACTTAAACTGATTTTGTTCCGAAAACAATCACTTTGGTTTGGATTAACCAGAAAATGTAGGGAACTATTATAATGGCTCTGAGTACGGCGCCAAATTTACAACATAAAAGAAGAGAGAAGTAAAATCCTTTGTTTTCAGTGGCGGATTAAACAAGTACAGAGCGTGGAGCAAGTTACCTATATTAAAGAACCGCCTCCTGTAAGAGTATGTCCCTAGAAGTAGGTATGAACCTTATTAATTGAGGCATGGAAAAGTCATACTAAAACTTGTTAAGTCTCACTGCGATGTGTAAGTTTTACTTAAAGTAGATGAGATGAGTTCAATTACGCAGGGCCCCTAAGGAAAACCTTTTTTTTAAGGGTGGAAAATTATCGAATGACTGCTCCCGCCTGGGTGAGGTGGACGGGAGTGTCAGATTCTTACTGACTAAAAACCGCCCCGTTCCTACTCCTGCACTTCGAGCCGGAGCCCCGGTAACCCGTTAAGTTCTCCGCGGCTCCATATCGGCATCAGCACTATCGCGCCCCATCCGTCGTGGTCTAATGGCTCTTTGAGGTGCGCGCCCGTAGGAAAAGCTGCTCTAGATTCGTGGTTAGGTAATACAGCGCTGCTTCTAGAGGTAGTTTATAATAATAATTGTTTTATTGTACTCACCAGGTCAAGTCGCAGACTGAAGGAGACATGTTTAGTAGGGGGCGGCGCGGCGACGGGCGGCCCTTCGTAAAACGCAGCTTCCTCCAGACCGTAGTCCGACTCGCTCTCGGCCCATTCCAGCTTCATAGTGCTGGGACTGAAATGAAGAAAATGACTTTTAATATAAAATAGTAGAATTACATAGAATAAGAAGGGACAAGAGGTAAGATGTTCGATTGAGTATTAAGAAACCTAAATGATACGTCTATCATCACTTCATCAGTCTTCTATGAATGATATTATATTTTATTTTAAGTTGCCTTACTTTGAAGGATTACAGTACAGTTTATAATATCTGGAAGATGAGTCTGACTCTGACTGTCACGTAGCCTTCAATAACGTTATCTTACTTCGTTTGACAACGCATACATTACACATAGTAAATAACCTGAATTATATGTAATCCTACAGTTACTCTGAATCATTAAGCGTTCGTAATACTTGAACAACTATCACTATGTAACAACAGCAAATTCAATTCTTAAAACAAATCGCAAATGTATAACAAATCTACATCTACAATACCTACGTACCAAGTAATAAATCTACAAAAGTAATAAAACAAAATCAATCCCAAAGATCGATGCAACAAAAACTAATGTTATTTGCCTACAAATGTTCGCGTCTCGCTAAACGCATCCTCCCCAACCTCGGGGGGCCAAACGCCTCCTGCCGGAGGTTATACGCCGGGGTCGTGCGGTCCATGGCCCTCTACGGCGCCCCTGTTTGGGCGCCTAACCTGTTGCGGCGTCCCGCTCGGACGCTGCTCATGGCACAGAGGGTCATGGCGATCCGAATGATCCGCGGATACCGCACGATCTCTGGGGAGTCGGCGAACCTCCTTGCCGGATTACCGCCGTGGGATCTGGAGGCGAAGGTGCTCGCGCGCGTGCACAGCATGCGCGCGGAGGCACGTCGCCGGGGCGAAACTCCGCTGCCGCGCCAGATAAGTGCGTGGCGGGATGAGCTCCGGCGCGATCTCATGGCGGAATGGCAGCAACGACTGTCGCAACCGAGGGCTGGGCTCGCTGCCATCGCAGCGGTAAGTCCCCTCTTTGAGGAGTGGCTTGAGAGACGCTACGGCGTCCTCACCTACCGCCTGACGCAGGTCCTCACCGGACATGGAAGTTTCGGGAGGTACCTGTGTCTGATGGGGCGGGAGGAAACGCCCGGGTGTCATCACTGCGAGGACCGCCCTGAGGACACGGTGGAACACACGGTGGGAGAATGCCCTTCGTGGGCTGAGCACCGCCGTGTCCTCAGGGAAGTGATCGGCGATGGCGACCTCTCGCGTCCGGGCCTAGTGCAGGCCATGATGCGGAGCGAGGGGGATTGGGATGCCGTCTCCTCCTTTTGCGAAGCAGTCATGCTAGCTAAGGAGGAGGCGGGACGCGTGAGGCAGCGAAGCGCTGCCTCCTCGCAACCCAGCCATCGCGAAGGACACACCGGGCGTCGGGGATCGCGGGACGATCTCCGGCCACCGTAAGCGCGGGCCTGCGGACGGCGAGCATGGGTGGCTCCCCGTCCGACCAGAAACAGACCCGAGCGTACGGCGCGTCGCGTTCCGCGCGCGCCTCAAAGAGCCATCAGACCACCACAGATGGGGCCCAATAGGGCCGATGCCGATTCGGAGTCGCGGAGAACCTAACGGGTAACCGGGGCTCCGGCTCGACGTGCAGGAGAAGGAACGGGGTGGTTTTTAGTCAGTAAGAGTCTGACACTCCCTCCCGCCTCACCCAGGCGGGGGCAGTCATTCGATGATTTTCCCCCCTTAAAAAAAAAAAAAAAAAAAAACCGTTCACCATAAACATTTATTTTTATGGCTCCCAGTTGATGCAAGAACTATCATTCATGTCCATTATAAGGCTTCTATAACCACAAGCAACATTACTATCGCCAATATTCAAGTATCAATATCTCTTATCCCGCTCACACGGTACTAAAGTGACAGAAATAGAGCATCCTTCAAATTAGTCGAAGCCTGTACGGTGACCAACCAGTTCCTCATATCGAGACTGGCTCTATTCGTCTTTTGTTTTTTGTGGTATCGAAGGGTCCAGGGATCTTGTAGTTTTTATTAAGTTGTGTGGCTGGTTAGAGGGAATAAAACGGTATTCTATCAAGATTCTTAGGTTTCTTTATAAATCGGCTATATGTTGTGTTACATTATGTTGCAATTAATGTATGTAAAGATTCATTATCATTGTCTGATTGTAATGTGTGATAAATAGCAACTATCTAAACGTAACACCTTAGATAATACATGAACTAAACATTTCGTTACATTTCAGCATAATAGCACTTTTCATATCAGGTGTAACCAGTAAATAAACGATACAAATATTTATACACAAGCCCAAATAAAACTCTTTTACAACTAGAAACAAAACAACCAAAACCGATTACTACCACTCCAAAAAGCTCGCATTATTTTTAGTACGACAACCAAGTTCTTTGAATCGCCAGAACATTTTATAATAGTAAATGTGTCGTCAGAAATCGGTCCGTCTGAAGCCGGTACGTCGCCGTTACGGCTAATATCCGCCGGATACGGCAGGATCTGACACCGTACGACATTATTGTCGTGTAATTGAACCGGCGTGTCGATTTGTTCATTTGAATACGGGGGTAGGAAGGGTGATGGATAACCCTCGAGCTTCCAATGGTCCCAAAATTACGTGGAGCTGATTGAAGAGGATGCACACTCAATTGTTTGATGTTCGAAGTTAATTTATCAACTCGAATAGGGTGTAATGATTTCTTGAAGGGGTCTTACTGAGAGATTTGTCTTTTAAGTTGTTTTACTGCAGTTCTTCGTATGATTATTACTTTAAATAGGGTTGGACTACTTCGTTCGATCGAATTATGAAATTGACAAAAATGTTGCTGTGTCCGAAATAGTGCGTTGTATTTTTTATATCAATGAGATTAGTAAGATAGGCAACTGGTTCCTACCCATTCCAGAAATAACGTTACACATAATATGTACATGTAAATAAGACCTAATTACTTCTACGGTTAAGTACATATTCTATTATTAAAGATGAAGTCATAAACTAAAACGTACCAATCAAGATTAACAGTTTTACTCGAAATGAAAATACTTGAGCACAACACAGCAAACGCTTACACCTAACAATACTTCAGAAACAGACAGTTATTGGAGCACTTTCTTCACAAATAACACAAAATCAAGTCAATTTAGACCAATTTTTGGCCAAAACTTGAATTAAAGTATTACGTAGCACTATGAATAACTGTAAAACGACTAACAAACTCCGCGAATATCGTATGACCGCCCGAAATGACAATGTTCTGCTATCTAATCACGGACAGATAAAATTATCAGTACGTAATAACACAAATAGCGCATAATATGTACTAGAGATAGGTACACACTATAGGTAGGCTCTTTGTAACTCTAACTAGTACTTAATCATAATATATTTTACTTTCGCCATTATGGTTTTTGTGGAGTGATGAAATGACTAAAATCGAAAAGAATCGTTGAGTGAGCTTTGGGTAGAAATGCAAACAACAATTATTATTGTGTAATATCTTTTAACCAGCTAGGATGTAAATTCGGATCGAACTTACGAAGTGAGCTTGATCGCATTCTCGCCCGTCATTGGTCAAAATTATTCTCAGAACCAATGACGTGGCGGACCGCGATCGAGTTAACTTCGATCTTTCGAATTGAACGTTACAGAATAGCCTAGCAGTTATATTATGATTATGATATGACTCATAGAAATATAACTTGAAAATTTTATTTCATCATAGATTAAGAAGATTTCAATAAATATAAGTTTAATACAATTTCCGTAGTAGTTTGCTATTACCCATTGATGCTACTTCTTCCTACTTGTAACACAAAACCACAAAACTTACTTGAATTACCTCTATAATGATTAATATCCGACCTAGGAAACCAGAGCCTGGAGGCACAAGATTTGAAATTAGGACCTGTCTGACTACTCGCAGATCGCGTGATCGACTAATCACATGATTTTCTACCTGACCATTGAACAAAGTCATTCCTACTACATTTCAATTAATATTCAAATATATATTTTTTTTTGTAATAAGGCTGCCTGGAATATACTTAGGTATGACTTATGATAGGGGTTTAGAAATTTAAGGATTGTTGGGGATTCGGGGCCTGGAGAGATTGGCAATTGGGCCTCCGTTCCTCTCTCACAAGACGAATTACAACGCAAGTATTGTTTCACGTCGGTTTCTGTGAGGCCGTGGTATTATTCCGGTCGTGCCGGTCCATTCTTGCCGAAAGCATGGGACTCCCACACTTAAAATTGCAAATAGTGTATTTATTGTTACCAATTTTAAGAATGCTGTGTTCAAATATTTTGAAAGGAAACATTAAAGTAAACCTGCTTTCACTTAACATTCGTTAGTTCTGTCTTTTCAGTTATTTAGTACCTACTTGTGGCATTTTTGATAAAATATCTCTTTCCTGTGTCCTTTGTTTCATTAAGTACTTCATGTTGGTGTAATGACTAACCTACTTTGTATAATGAAAAAAATATATGTATCAAGTCACAATAATATGTCGTATTGTTGTCAATATTGACAATTTATGTATTGAGAATTGAAATTTATTTTTTGTTTTCTAAACGAACTATCGTGTTAAAAATAAAATGTCAAAAATAGCGAAGAGTGCTATAAATTGGGTAGAACTGGAGAAACGAGTGCCACCAGAAGAGAAGGTTAAGTTTTTTGCTTTCAAAGCTAAATCGGATGGATACGTTCGACGGTAATAAAACTATGCACGCAAGCACTATTCTTTCCCAAAATAGTATCAATCATATCAACACTATAATCATGATGATGTTAGAGATAAAACCATCGAAGTGCACATCTTTTTTACATAGGTATTGGTAGTTGATCAAAATGCTGGTTACCATCAATGCCTTTATTTCTACTACTTGCCTTAATTCCAGCATGCAGGCATCACCTCCAGAGCCTCCTAAAATAAACTGGGAAGAATATCAGAAACTAGTTCCAGTACCAGGCCTCGTAGACAAGTTCAAGACGGAATACTCTTCATTCAGGGTCCCATATCCTGAAGATACTTTCTCCGCTGAGGTGGACAAAGAATGGAAAAAGTTGGAATCTGAAATAGCGAAGTACAGTAACAAAATGAAAGAACATATTGCTAAGTACGATTTAAATTTTGAAATCCACATTCTTAGCATTAAAATATCGTTTGAAAACACCTTTTATCATTTCACAGGGCACAAAAAGAAATTGCAGCAATTAACGCTCTTCCTAAATTTGAAGATATGACGATGGAAACGGTGCATGATATGTATCCAGAGATAGCACTAGATCCTGTGAATAATCCAACATTTTGGCCCCACACCGACGACGAGCAACTGGGCTATAAAGACCCCATGCAGAAAATTGACTTCCCCAAGAAATAAATGCCTTCCCTCCGCTACCTCGCTCTGAATACAAAACAACAACTATTAACGTCTTCGTGCCACTTCGGTGGTTAAATATATTATTTTTTCAATAGAAAATTTGTATTCTTTACCTCCATTTTGCTATGTCCATTGATATTCAGTATATTCGAAGAAATATTTAACAGATTTACATAAATACGGAATGTATAAAATGTTTTGAATGGTTTTCTTGGTAATATTGTTCACATGCACGAATGCGTGGAGCAAAACGTTCTGGCGGGCGCGGGCCGGTGGACGAGCGTCGCTTCGCCTCAGGCCAACTGCAAACATCGCGTGACTTATTGTTTTTTGGTTAGGGTTACTGGACAGTCGATAATCGGGTCAATTACTGTCGCCATACAGAGCAGCACCTGGCAAATTAGGGATGAACGTCCTCGTTTATTTACATGCCAAGTTATCATCAAAGTGAAACCTCGAGGAATGTTCCGGAATCTGAATGGTTAGTCGTTGCATCTTTCTTGCAGTGGCAACCCTGTGTGTCGCATTAAAGGGCTGCACTCCGTCTAAATATAGTGTCGTGTTCAGGGTCGCCGCGGATACACCGGCCAACAAGTTGTGCGAGGCAAATTATGATTGATGATAGGTTTAGATTTCACCCAGACTTGTTTCACTTTAATTAACATCGGTAGAATAATTTATCCGTAACAGTATGCGGAGAACGAGAGCTATTTTAGGGTTGTAGTCATTAATCGTTTTGTTGAACTTCTGAATCGAAATAAAGTTATACGCAGATAAGTTTGATTTATAGTTTTGCTTTCGCTTTGGAGACATGATTTGTATTTTATGGACTTGAGAGTCTGAGTTAAAAGTCAATTGTTGTGAAATTAACAAATGATCATTAACTACTAAAATCAGTACAAAAGCTGTGTTATTGAATGAAGCTCGCACATGTGTGGGTGCGCAAGCACAGTCGGTTGCATTTGACGCGCACTAACTGTTCCAGCCAGACGCCCGCGCCTCTTCCGAGAAAACTCGCTCTGTACGATTTCATTATAACCCGCGCTATAATAAGTTCGACGCCCAACTATATTGCAATTTGATAGCGAACCGATGGAACGAGTCCAGAGAATTTAATTAGCTCTTTTTTCTGTATCCACAGTTTGCATAAAATCTAACGTTCAATTATTTCGAAACATTTATTTAGTTCATTCAAAATTGTTCATCCTGTATGTCTTTTCATACCAAAACCTTGTAAACATTATTTACTACTGCATCATAGTAAGTACTAAATTCCTATTACAGTAGTAGATATATACTATCCACTGGCTAACAGGATACGCTACCGGCTACCCCTTTAAACATCCTCTTCTATGTTTTACAAAGTTGCTTACAGTGAACCACTCAATAATAGGAAACGAACTCTTTCATTGAATCAACAAACACTAAAGAGTTTCATACAATCGTTTAAAAAGTTCGTCGTCTGTTGTTCTAAAATTAAAACTGTAACATCCCTTTCCGTTTCCTCAACGTTTTAGGACCGCCAACGATAATCGCAGATCAATCGACACTTGTAGAACTTCGGATATCCGTAAACGAGAAAATGAGGCATGCAAAGATCAGAGGAACAGATCAATAAAAATGTTAATTGGTATCGAGAAATGTCATTCATAGTGCACGATTCTAGGACGTGTCACGAACTTCTAACACATTGGTGCGTCTCCTTGTAATGCAGAAAATATGTAAATACTAAGTATATGCTTCATTGATCAAGTGATTGACTTTCATTCGAGCAAAAAAATTTCTAGAGATTTTCTATTTGTAAAAATTCTCATGGTTTTGTTATGGTAAGGCAAAAAAAGGTGTGTTATTTAAAATGTCCATCTTTACAAATATAAATCACTTACATAATTTCGTAAAAGGGGCGTAAAAGGCGTATTAAGATTCTACGACATGTCTAAAACATCTATCACATAGCTAAGCATCTCAAGTAATGCAGAAATATGTAAATCTAAACAAAATCTCGCTCGCAGATCCTTATCAAGTCAAATCCATCATCACGTCGTCATCAAAGAACGTGGTTTGCTTGGAAACAGTACACAATATAACACACAAGTTGAGACCTACATTCCTACATACAACTAAAGATTTTACGCGATATCCGGTAAAGTAATAATAGTATTTAGAATCGGGACTTCGTTTTCTAAAATGCTTTGTGACGCGTTTTATATGTATAAAGAGTTGGATGAACAATAGAAGTCTTATGAATAATCGGTTAGTTGTAAATTTTATGTAGATTTTCTTACGCGGTCTTGATTAGTAATTTGGTCTGAGGAATGTCCTATCTTAAACTGAACCTGAATAAATACGATACACATTACATCTATCCGAATGAATCATTCCAGGCAACGTTACGTTGGAAAAACTCGTTAGAAAATCTGGTCATTATTGGGTGCAAACAGACAGTAGAAGTATTAGATTTTCTCTTTCTTAATTCGTTCACAATGAGTGTTAGCCATATGCCGCGTGGGTGGATGTGGAAAGGGTGAGGAACGGCCACCTGTTACTGGTTCGCTATATTTAGTAACTCCTCGTCCCCCTTCCCCTTCAGCCATTCATAACTCGGTGACTAATGTGTGAAGCTGTATGTAAAATGCACTGCTTGCTCTAACTACGCAACTTCGCATTACACTCCATTGTTTACCCGTTTACCCAAAGCTTTTAGGACACCGTCATAACAGGAACCACTGTCAAATTCGTGTTCCGGCGAATATCCGGCGTTTAATTTGATCGTAAGTAGTTCATGTTTGGGGTATTACTGCAAGATTCTATTTACGTAAAACTAGAACTCTCTGGGCAAGTGCATCATCAGTTTTTTTGTTTCTATTAAGATTAGTCAGAACAACACGTGTGGCTGTATAGACCATCACATCAAACTGCTTCATTTTGTCTCATTTCTTTAATGGATTTCCATCTTTATTGTTGTAGTGATAAAATCAAATATCTATTTAATCATTTGACATATTGCAGCAGGTCCATGTATTACCATCTGTGCAATAGTCTTGGATGTGACTGTCTTTCAGAATGATATTAAAACAGATTTTATGAACGAATATTTTTTTTTTGTCTATTGTAAGATATTGATGTATTTTGGAACTGTGATTTCATTTCATTGACTCTGACGTCTAATCATTATATATGAGTCAAGTCTTAAATTATTTTGTATAGGTACTTTTGCAGAAGAGATCTTCATTTTCATGCTGCGTGATATGATCACATGACTGATATGGTTTCTAGGAATTTCCATCTTCGGGAAAACCAATGATCAAAATTTCGGGATCTGATGACGTTTGTGAATCAAGATAAAGACTTTGGATGTTTGGATGTGAAGACTTTATATAGCTACCCATAAATCTATATACGCTGTCGATTTCATAGATCTGCCTTCAGTTTGCGGACCTGACAAAGGTTGCAAAGTCGCTGGATGCAGGTTTCTTTCAACTGACCGATTTGTCCATTTGTGAGTCATTGAGGAAAGTCTATGTTCAGCAGTAGACATCGACTGCACTATCCTCAAATATATCAACGTTGTAACAAAGCAAGTTCAGTTTCAGTTCGAAAGAAAATAACGAGGACATATATAAGGTGCACACATCAGCTACTGAACACAGAATTCGACACACACACACACACACCCAAATTGAGAAAGAACATTAAAACTATTATGTCAACATACTCCCAACATCGAACCTACCTCACATAACAAAAGTCTAATATATTTCTGTTCGTTATTGAACGTAGATTCAAATGAGAACCTTGGCCTACACGGTGCGATGTGACACCCACTTGTAATGCAACGCGAACGCACACAAAGAAAAGCCGCTGAATAAACATTTACACGATTACTTAGCTGTTTGATACAGTGATCTTTAAAAGTAGGTGAGTACTTCGATAGAGAATTATTTGCTTGTTAGTAAATGCTATTGTTTATACTTAATCCTTACGTTTTACAAAATACGTACGTCTGTGTCAACGGTGAAGGAAAATATCGTGAGGAAACCTGAACTTATAATTTCTTATTATAAGTTTGAAACCAACCTGCATTGAGCAAGTGTGGTGATTAATGCTCAAATCTTCTCCGTGTGAGAAGAAGCCTTTGGTCAGCAGTGGCCACTGCTATATAGGCTGTTGATGATGATGATGAGGTTTGTGTATTTGGTACTCAGAAACTACTAAAAGCTTTATGATGTGGTTGTGACCAACAGATACATATACAACTTACAACTAAAACTAGATTCAGTATTCCAAGACTACATGTGAAAACAGTAAACCAAAACCAAAAAGTTTATATCGGCCTAAAATTAACATTAGAGACGCCGCGTATTTATAAAATGTACAAGACAAGCTCTGTGCTCTTATGAAGTATAATTTAAAAGCATAGCAAGTGCTTCTCAGTTGGACTGTTAGATGATTCAAATAGCACCGATAAATAAATGCGTTTGATCCGTTTTGTTGCGCTTATTCCAAGTTAGATTTGAAAATAACTTCGTGTATGCGTAGGTTGGAAGAATGCGTCAAGTTTGAATAAATTGATGTAGTTAGCTACGGACGATTAGAGGTGAATAGTTTTTTAATGTTTTAGAGATTTTTAAGTAGTCTTTATTATCTAATATGTATTTTAAGTGATTATTAAGAACCAGTATCTTATTCATTACATTTTTTTCAATTCGAGTAACCATCGGCTATATTACAAAGAATAACAATGTAGGATATGTATAATAAATATAATCTAAATAATTTTACAAAATAATATTGGACATATTATGATAATTTAATTAGTTAGGTATTTACGGAAATATAAGGAAAGGAAAAACACATTAAAGGGACACTAAAACTAAAGGAAAACATAAAATTAATAAATACACATCATGTATGAATATCTAAATACTAAATAGTGTTTCTTAATGAACATTTTATCAAAGTTACCGGTTTTCTGAATGCTAAAGCTATAATTTGGGTGTTTCAGAAATCACTAAAATTTATGTGCAACCAGCTTTACTTTAGGTTTAGTCATTAATTTTCTTACGAAATCGTATAATTAGTTGGAACCAGTGTTTTTCAGTGTTCAAGATTTTAGATAAGGATTGAAACATACATGTATAATTAAAATTTGCAAATACATTATATGATTAGATTACTACTTATGCTATAACAATTGTAATTACGTTTACATTTAAGACTGTATTATGATAATCAAATGACGCTAATGGCGTCCAATGCAAGTCATGTCCTAATATTTATGTACTAACCTACTCTAATCTGTCAAAGTTATTCATAGGGTTTTCGACTTAAATATCAACACAATAAAGTTGAAGATGTAATAGATAAATTTGACAAAAAAGAATAGGCTAACCTAAACCACTGTAGGTACCTAATAACATTTTGTTCAAGGAAAACATACGGGAAAACTTTGAAGCGATTACTGTTGAATTGTAAGTATGGAAGTGAAACTCATACAACCTGTTAAATATATGACTAAGTCTGTGTAATGTATTTCATGAAAGTATTCATTATCTGAGCGTGAGTTGTACCGTATTGTACGGTCATAGCTAGATGAAGTTGGGTATCTACACCGATATATTTAATAATATTTATATCAGAGAGTCGACGACCCCAACACATGGGCGTGTGTGCGCTTATTATTATAACTTGTTACTTATCAGTTAATTATATGGTGCAATCAATTTTATGTGCTGTGGCTATCAAAACAAAGAGACTTTTAGCCTTGTCCCAGTAGACTGCTGGCAGACGGGGCTCCATAGCCGTTGAGCTGAATTTGTTAAGCCGTCAAAGTATCTACATAATAAAACCATCATACATGATCTCTTCACCCAAATACGTCGGCCCATAAACGACATGGACATGAAAATGAGTAATCAGGATTAGGCGCGTTTGTGTTGTTGATCGTTACTAATTAATTCATAATTAAAAATTCTGTGCGCCCGCGCAGACGGCCGCGTCAACCAATTACGTTGCCCACGCGCATCATGTGAATGTGGACACTATCGCCATGGACATTGGGTTCATTTATGACGTGATAAGGGTGGTGAATGAAGGGCAAGAGACAGTTGTTTTATTTTGTGCTATATTTAGTACACAGACTGAATTGTTACTGTGCCAGAGCCGCACCGAGCGATATGTAGCTTGGCATACTTGCACGTCATTTTATAAATATAAATAGATGCTTAATTATGTGTTAAATTAATGTATTACACATATTAGCATAATTAGGTTTTTGTTTAACAACGTAAATAGTAATATCGATGTTACATTAGTCATCATCTTACGCCATCGTACTAGGAATGACAGATCTTGATATTTGTGACATAAGCGTGTGTATTCCGTGTATAGACGTAGCCGATATGTTTGTATGTGTGTGCTCAAATAGTAAACGAATGTGTGGTGTTTGGCGAACTCTGCGGAACATCTGTTATTGTGAGTTTCTCAGCCACAAAAAATGTTTTCAAGATTTATTCTTTGCGTTTAGATTTGTCGGGTAAACGGATTTTTGAATTCCACATCCGACTTGTGTTGTGTCGATTACAAAATGGAGTTGCGTAAATATAATGTTGATTCTTGTTTTTCTGCTAACGAAGCTTGTCTTTGTTGTGGCATTGTGTTCATTTCAATAAACAAACATACATAATGTTCTAATTAAGCACCTAGACGGACGTCAGCATTTTATTTTTTCTATTAGTTAACGTTATCAATTTTAGACACTTGCACGTGGTCCGATTTTGACACGTATGACTTTAATTTAATTTATGGGCAAATGGTGTAGTTTGTTTGGCTTTGTGATCCATTCCCAAAAGGTATAAGCCCACCATTATTAATCAGGAGTTGTTTATCACCGTACAATGGACATCAAACACTTGTATTACGCAATTACCTACCTACGTGTATTCACATAGGTACGTTTATAGATCTACGAACAACATGTTCCTATATCTAGTATTTCTCTCAATTAAAATTCATCGAATTCTCAAAAGCATCAAAGTTTGCCAAAACGTCTATTGCCATTATAAATAAGTGCATACAAAATTCATATTCGCCATTGAGAAAGTAAGATCCGTTCCAAATTATGTCAGCGGGCGATCGACGCGTCTACCTGCTTTGGGTTCGGTCCCGTTGCGTGCAAGGTGTACTGCACCCTACACGCACACACTTGCAGGGCTGGTGCACACAGATAGTGTGCCCCTGCGCAGATGTCGCCCCCGCACCTTCCCGCCCCCGCTAACGCCCCGTAGTGCACCGAACCTCAGCTGCACTAGCTCGTCAGATGTTGATCGAAAGATTTTTTGTTTACTGTGGGATCAGATGAGCGACCGAGCCCAAGGAATTAAACAGGGGTAGCTTGAAGCTTCATTCGCACATCTTTTAAGCTCCCATACTGGTTATACTAGTGTGTACTTACTGGCGGATCCAAGTAACTAGATCAATGGGTCCACTCGCTTTATAAATGGGTCTTAAAATAGCCTTCTTTATTTTAAAACTGTATAAACATAATTATATTGTAATGAATAGCCTTTTCTGTAATACAAAATTTGAACAACTCAGTTCTTTTAACATTGTGAAATAGCAAAATGTTTGGCATATAGGAGAATAACAATAAAATTGTTGTATACCGGGAGTATATGACCTTCAGGCGGTCAGATAACGCGAGCAATATTTTGATAAAATGATAATGGTGCAATGCAGAGTCTCCTTTGAGCACAGATAGTAAGTAATATGGATACCTACCTAATAGAATAGGTATTTTTAAATATAACAATGTGATAAAAATTCCATAGTAAGATGTCATAGATAAGTTTCGAGACATGGCTATGTCAAGGCAACCATTAGCTGGTACCTCTTGTGCCAACTGATATGATAATATTAAATCTCTGTAAACAAGAACTTTATCTATTCTGTTGAATTTCAGACAGCCACGTTGTCCTAGTGACAAGGGCGTTTACTAGGCTTTATTAATATCAGAAATAATCAGAATTGGAAAAATATTTCATCATGAATACTTAAATTGAGGATTGATATGAAATCCTTATTCAGAGGCAATGAGGTTGATTATTGCATGGGACTATATTAATGACCCTTTTGGTGAGCCTTTTGTCCATATAACCAGCAAAAATGGACATAATAATCAAGTCATTAAAGTTTGAATTCCCTTTGGACAGAGTACATTCCTATTTGGAATGCAAAGAAGCTATCAAGCAAGCGCGGTGTTCCATCCTGTTCATGTTTCCTGTCCTGAAAATGTCAAACATTGTGCTATGTTTGAAAACAGCAACATTTTTGATAGGTGTGTATTTGCATTCTCGTCTTGTACAACACGTGAAGGCACGGTGGATGTTATTGATGATGAATTGATGATGACTAATCGAGTTACTGAAGCAGGGCAGAGTAAAGGAATATGGGCATTCCTAATATCCTAGAAGCTAATAAAGAAACTTACTTAACCCCTGAAAAAAGGAGGAATAAAGAAAATATCCATTTTCAGAAAAAGAGAAACGTATCTCTGCAGTTTTTCTTTTTATAACCACTTTTAGAAAGGTGAAGTCATGATCAAGGGCTAGCAAACCATTATCAAAGGTTAATATAAAGACAAATATAATCAATTGCAATATTGCAAATTGAAGCCGGAATGCAACAACTAGATTTTACCAAGTGTGCATTTTTATGTAGGTTGTTAATAGATTGTTAATAGAAGTTCGTAATGCAAATTGACAAAAACGGAGATGATGTGTTAGCACTGGGTACTCATATTTCAATGTCAAATATTACCTAACATTTCACAAGTAATAGATTGGCTTGCAACAACCTTCACGGTTGGCTGAGGTATCACGTGTAAGATATTTTATTTCACCAATAACCATTATGGGATTTATGGCGATGCAACCGTAATCGATAACTACCGCACTACACTCAAACACAAACAATGAGCCCAATGTACTGGAGATTACAATCCGTTTTTGAATGGACAGCAAATCAAGAAACCTCAGTCTGTCCAAATTATTTTTAAACCTTATAATTTTTTTGATAGAGTTCAAAGTTTATTAAAAAATTTTGATAGTAAAGGGCAGTTTGATGTGCGTGTCAGTTTTAAGGTATTCGATCTACACTAGATTTCGTATTAATATATGGTAATCCTAGAAGCGACATACAAGTGAACTGTTTCATCATTAGTGGCACCCATATCTCATTAAAATGTTTGATCTAAAGACCTGGAGTTAGAGAAATAATTTGAAAGCCAGAGCCTCATAAACCATGCCTGATATCAGAACACTGTTTTAAGAGAAATGGCTTAAAACACCATTATGAAAACCTTCAAGTCATGTCGTGCATAAGATCAGAATACATTGTACATAATTTACAACTAGTTAATAAAAGATGTACTCAAGAGATGACTGTACCTACCTATATTCTCGCGAACTATATAACTGTATTGTATCAAAGTATTAAAATTTAAACAATCATGGGAATGTTATGGATTATAATTTAATTCATATAAATTGTTTGAGAGATAAAGAAATTAATTTATGATCAACTACATAATGATGATCTAACGATGCCCAATATTGGATTACTTATAAAGGTTTGAAGATCTGAGGGCTCAGTACGTTACGTAGTTGGTTTACTAGACATTTATTAGTACTTATGTGAAATAATAAAACAATAATCCCCAGCTAGATTTACCAGAAGTCAGGTAGGACGATCGACTAAATGGTTGGATACGAAGAGCTGAAGATCGAGCTCAGTGGCGTGCTATTAGAGAGGTCAGAAAAAGTAAAAAGGCTGATGAAGATGATGATGAGCTGCCTAAAAAATCGATATACTTAAGTAATACAAGATTAAAATTAGGTAATTTTATAGTAGGAACCTATTTATAAAAAGGTCTTCTTAGAACAAAACTATGACGTCAAATTGGATACTGGTAAGTTTTCAAAAGAGCGTCACGACTCTTGGACTAGTTTTAATTCTAAAATTCAATGAATAATCTAATCTAGAATCACTTTAGTTTTCCCCATTTTCATTTTATTTTGGTAAGCCAATTCTTCGAAATGTTTACACAACAAACTATTAACAAGAATGCATTGTATCTACTTATTAATTAAACCAATTTTATCACTTTATCAGATATCCGGAATTAAGCTTTAAATATTTTTGAAATAAAGTCATAATCGAAATTGGATTGATTACAAAGTTATTCAGAAAATTGGGAGTTACATTCTATCTAGTAGTGGGTCCACATCTGGCGAATGCGCCACTCGGAGCAAGCAAGCGTACCTACTTACCTATTCGCCAGATGTGGTACCTACACCATAGAAACACAAATTGATGATGGTTATTACGAAAAGGTAGAATGACAAGGTCTAGCAACACCACAATTTCCTGATAACCAGATTTTTTTATTTGTATCTTCATCCCTCACAACTTTTTGGCGGAAATCACAGAGCGACACGTGTTCTCCGAGCCGATCTTTTGTTGTTTTGCTTGCTTCTCATTTATCCGACTGCTTCAGGATTGTATTTCTTCTTATTTTCTGCTTATTTTTCTCTCTATGCCTATCTTTCGTCTTCTTACAAATCTCACTTAGTTCATCGTTGGAGGATATATTGCAATCGTATAGATCTACGACTTCATGTGTTATTTCAATCAAGTTCAGATTTAAGGACCATTGCAATCAAAAAGGTGTTCGGTTTTCATTTATCGGCTTTTCTGGACATTTGAGTAGTAGATTTTATTACATGTTGTAGGTGGTATGGAATATTTCCTTTGATCTGTACATTCTGTGTGTAGTTGCATATCACGTTGGATCGTAAAATATGAAGAGCTGTTACATACCCTGTCTGAAGATGTATGAATGTGTTGTATTTGTATGTGGTACATACTACAATTTGTAATGTTGTGCAACGTTCTGTTCACTTTGTTAACATTACTTCAAGCAATTAAATAGATTTGACTCATTAATCTTTGTGTGTTTTCATAAATCAACGGATGATAGATACTTCTGTTTTAACGCGAATTTTGTTCAGTGTGGGTACTTGCAGTTTGACAGTGATGCCTAATCAGTTATCTAGATTCCTCATAACGCGAGTGAGTGAGCCACACATAGTGAAATTCATTTTTAGAGTGACGTCATTGTTTCTTGCAATAGCTGGCCGTTAGATTAGGTTTGTTTTATTATACTTGCGTAGGTATAACATTCATAATGAAATTATTGAAGCAACGTCTCACTGCCCCGCTGCCGGCTAGGTAAACATGATCGTAAACTTTATGATTTATTGTTCTTTATCTTTTCGTCACCTTGCCACTGATAACGATTAATGATCAATATTAATTACGAAATTAAATGAAACATGAAGTTCGTGTGGGTTCGTCGAGAATTCCTAAACAGTTGTCTATAAATAGTGTGGATATCGGAGCAACTGCAGACAAAAGGCGATCTGAGAGAATCGCAAGTTGCACGAAGGTGTGGTCTGTGGTATCTGTCGATATGGTGTGCCAGCCATTAGCGGGATCGACTTGCGGCGAGACGAGTCCACTCGACTCGATACTCAGGTAGCGCCGGGATAAAAACGCCACTTGAAATGGAGCGGACGCGGCCCGGTCTCACCTAGATAGCGCTCGCGATCCGACAAAAAGAACAGTCGTGCCATAGCCGGCGATACTCGGTAATACTTAGAAATTCTCAAAAAGACCTCATTGCGATGTACGCAGAGTAAGCGCCGTCGTATCGCCGTGAATCAGTCATCAGCTCGGATCTCCGTCTCGTCACAATGAGCCGCCCTAATCACCCATTCATACGGCACGCACGTTGATAATAATATAAATAGGCCCAAACGTCCAATGAATGAACTTATAACATGTAAATTCGTCGCTCACAAATCGCGACACAGCTCGGAGCGTAGGCGTCGGGGCTTGAATGAAAATAAACATTTCGTTAGAGTGCTTACCTCTCGATTTTAATGATTTTATCCAGATTAGCGATATCGTCACAGCACTTGGTAAAATCGTTATCAATGTATTGTTACACTGAACTTGTGGGCATATCACTGTTATGAGCGAGGGAAGGTCGCGAGGCGGCGAGGACAGTACAGCGCGGCCGGCCGTCAGATCGACACTGCGGAGGTGCGCCCGCGTCGCCACGCACACACGCGCCTTCATTCACACAGCGGCGCGGCCGGGGGGGGGGACTTATGAATGGACGTAGTGAAGCCATGTCGTATAGATACCGCTGATAAGGCGCTATGCAAGCGTTATACAACATGATACGAGCGCTGATCGCCCGCCGCATCACTCTTACTGCTACATAATCTACTAATCATTGTACATCCTACTAGTCAGCGCCCAAACTACGTGGCGAATTTAAGTAATCTTATTCAATGTAATAATATTAGCAAAATAATAGTTATCTCGACAGTCAAACAATGATAAATGTGGATATAAATAAGATAAAGAGATAAGGCAGTTACAATTTAAATATTTTAATACTTTTATAAACTTATGTTTTTCTGACTATACAAAGCAACAATATATCACTTAGATATGTAATACAGTATAAATACTTAAGTAAGCGATTGTCTTTGACTTGTTCGTTATGACCTTTTTATTCAGTCAATTACTATGAATTCTACAAACCTTTTAGCCATACGAAGGGGAAGCGACACCGTAACTTAAACCTTACATATAAACAATAAATACATGATTTCTATTTTAGTGCAACAAGTATAAGTTCACGTTAAAATAAAATTATTATTAAAGTAAAGCGATATCTACCTCCTTCTTACTATGATAGAATATCTCACTATTTACTACATTTAACAAAAATAATACATAAAAATTTTTTCACAAAACGGTTCAACATCCTTTGTATACTAACTAGTCAATAAGTTACGGTGTCTCTTCCTATACAATAGTTATTGTTTACGAAAGTCCTTTGAGGAAGCTGGACAGCTTGTGGCTCTTGTAGTCCGCACGAAGTTGAATGAAGTTGTTTAGTATCGAATGGTCCAATTCCGCCTGTTAAGTAAGCAAAAATAATAATGTTACACCTTGTAACTACATATTAACCTTTTGAATACACCGATATAAGATAAAATAGAAAATACATTGTGTCTCGCGTGGATTCACGTCTTATGTCGGAATACTCAAACGCTACTCAATTTTAAGTCGTGCTTAAGTATAGTTCTGTCTCTACAAATTCTTTGTAAAATGACAGCGATGGCACGATATTTAAGCACGACTTAAAATTGAGTAACGTTTCAGTATTCCGGCATTAGACACACGAAAGGTTTTTAGTCAGTAAGAGTCTGACACTCCCTCCCGCCTTACCCAGGCGGAAGCAGTCATTCGATGATTTTCCCCCCTTAAAAAAAACACACGAAAGGTTAATTGTTTTCAACGGTCGAGGTAACTCAACTCGTTTCGAACCAAGCTAGGGACTCATGCAGATTGAACCTACTCGATTTCCATCGCCTAACAGTTACGTAAGTAAGTCGAAAAGGAAATGTCCGATTCTATCTATCTTCGTTTTTATGCCGTTTTCAAGTAATAGCTATAAGTGCTGGGGAAGAATTTTTTGAGTGCGGAAATCATCCCATGGCTGCAAAACTATCCCCTGTTCTTAATCCTGCTTCGACACGGAGCCCACGTTATAGGGAAAGGCCCTCAGCACGAACCATGGCCTATATTTCGTGATGGAGGTAAATTCACGCATTATTATTATTTGTTATATCTCAATAATTAAGCCGCGGGCGGAAAGCTAGCAAGGAATAAACTTTATTTAGAGACCGCGCTGTTTTTACAATCGGAAGTTGTGCAATAAGAATATTTTTATTCTGTAACGACTACGTAATACATTACATATTTTATTTGATGCACAGGAAATTGTATGTTGAATGCCAATTTTTATGTCGTTTACTAGTTTTTGCAACGAAAAGAGTAGAATAGGGTGAAATAGAAAATCTATGTTTTTGCCAAGGTTATACGGGCTGAAATAACTAAGTCGTTTAGTACGTTGGTCGAGGCGACTCAAGTGCCCAAAGACTCAAGTGTTAACCAAAGGGTTCTTGATTCAATTTTGATTTTGACTGGGTATTCCTCAGTCAAAAAAGAGTCTATAATAGTGACTGGTGTATGGCAAATGGCTATATGTTTGCCAGAGGATCGAATTACAAAAATGGTGAAGGGTAGTAGGATAGAAACATTTCTGCCTACTTTATCGAATATTATCTAACGTTTCTTTAATATTCGTTCGTTAATATTTAATTACTAGCTTCTGCCCGCGGCTTCGTACGCGCAATCCCATTTTCTCCCGTTCCCGTAAGATTTTCACGATTTTTTCTGTCCTAAGAACCTACTCCTAATAATAACAAATACAACAAAAAAAGAATTAGTGAAATCGGTCCAGTCATTCATGCGTGATGTCGTGACTAAGGGAAAAAAGAATTAATTTATTAAATAAATGGATGACTTACAAGAGTTTCACCCTCGCAGACTTGGTGAAGGTTTTCAGGTTTGACGAGCAGTAGGTTGCAGAGTGCGTGCAGTGCGTCGAACAGAGCGTGCGCGGGCGCCGGGGCCGCGCGCGCGCCGCGACCGCATACTGCGCTGCGGTACTCCTTCACGTCGCAGATAGCTATCATTGCACCTAGATATACAACGTTTAGAGTAAATTAATTTTTGTTTAAGGGCTCACTCCCATAACTGTTTATTTGAGCGCACCGCTGCTCACGAGTATAAGTCCCTAGCGTGGTTTGAAACTGCTCGAGTCATATCGCCAAACAGTTACGTGAGTAACCACGAAATACTATATAATACAAAAATATGAGTTATTTTTTAATGGTACACGCCCGTAACAACCGCCCCAAAACAACTGCAACTCCTAAGTTAGGATCTACAGAATTCGGGCAGATACAAGAAACATCGAAGCGCTGAAGACGGCGCGTCACAGGGACATGAATAACTGTCTTGGCCCCCGAAACGAAATAGATTCGAAGGCATTAGAATTTTTAAATAACAATAGTAGTGCCAATGCTGTTAACTGTTAACTTATGAACGTAACACTATGTTAAATAATTTAATTGTTTCGTCAGGTGTAGCTTATTATACGGTCCTTGTGGAATCTAGAACGAATTTCCGTGCGTTTAGGCGTTTTTGCCATACCTATTATTGGAAGCAAGTATACGTATACGTATAACAGCTCACACATAGGACCCACTTAGTTTTTAGTCAAATTTCCATGGTGCTTGGGGACTGGGCTTCCCCCAGTTGTACAGTCTCTGTGCCTTTAGGCTTAATTCATTCTGTCTCCTGCAATAATTCACCGAGGGAAGTGGAAACTATAGTTTTTTCTTCTTCTCCTCTTATAATATATTCACTTCGTTGCGGGAACCAACTCATGTGCCTGGGACGCGCCGGACTTCAGTGTTCCGGTGTTTCCATGGTTATATCTATTGTAGATCCTGGCATTCAGGAGTTGCAGCGGTTTAGGGAGGTTGTGGCGGGCTTGTCCCATTAAAGTGCTGTTAACTTTTATTCAACATTTTCCGTATTCAGATACATAGTTCGAAATTATCACTATCGATAAGATAGATCGGTTATTCAACTCATTTATCAAATCCATGAACTTGAAAGATTTCAAATAAATCAGGTAATACAAGTATTATATAAAATTTCACCGTTTCTTTCATCAGCGGAGTGCGACATGCTAACTAGATCTGTAACGTCTTTGCAAGAAGCACAGCTTTGCAATAGCACCTTATCGCCTTAATAATAAAGTTCAAAATAACTTACCAGCAGAATTGAACTGGTAGTTCTGGAGATGCTCATATATGATCCTGTGTAGTCGGACGGCTAAGTCTAAGGTGACTGCGTGAAGGTTGTCTCCTTCCAGGCCCCCATGGATCTTATCCATTATGTTGTTCAGGTAATTGACCACTGCCAGACACGCCTGGTGACGTCACAATTCATTAGAGGTTAAGAAAACTGTTTTTTTTTAAAAAATCACTCTATCTATTAAAAAAACCGCGTCAAAATCCGTTGCGTAGTTTTAAAGATCTAATCATACATAGGGACAGGCAGGTGGCGGATAGCGACTTTGTTTTATACTATGTAGTGATCACTATTGAAATAAGTATTTTAACTTCACACACTGAGATGAGCGAAAGGCCTTCTACAGCAACTTACCGATGACGCAAGCGTATCAATATCTCCTTCTGGCTTGAAGTCAGTTTTCTTCTGTTCATTCTGAAGGTGCATCCTGACCCAGTTTACAATAGCCGAAATAGCCCGATCCAAGCCAACATCCAGCTTGTTCTCAAGCTGCTCCATTATAGCAGTCTTCTTTTGCATGCAATCATTCTGTTTTGTTGCTGAACTGTAAAATAGCAACAATTAAACATAATTCCGAGCATTATTATTATTATTTTATTAATAGGAATAGGCCTGCAAACGAGCAGACGAATCATTTGATAGTAAGCAATCGGTACCGCCCATGGACACCCGTAACACAAGAGTGCTGCTGTCAGTACTTTAGGGATTAGGGGATTGGAGATGAGAGGAAGGGGGGGGGGGTGGAGCCACTAGAATGTAAGCTTTGTAACTATCACTTTACGTACTTTCTAGTCAATTGTTGAACAGATACGCTTGCAACATGCAACCTTGCAACAATTTCTGTAACATGTTGCTGTACCTTAATTTCTACTGGGTGTAAATAAATATTTTTACAGTGTATAAATAGTTGTACAAGTTGAAAATATCTAAAATAAATGCAGTATGTAACAGGCTCTATTTGGTCGTTTTTCTATGGACCTATATGCAAGTAGTCTAGCATAATATGGATAATCTAAACTACAATTTAATGAAAGGGCTACTACATCTAAGAATCTATAATATTATAGAATATAGTGTGAATAATCGATCATAAGATTACTACGATAAGGTTAAATATTGTTTGCATATCATAGACAAGGGTCATTAAAGTTTGTTTCAAGAGCTCTATTGGTTTCTACACGTTACCTTCTCCGTTGCCTGGCAGAATTTATCCCATCTGATGCCAGGGGCCGGCTTTATTAAAAGTAAGGAAAATTGTAATATCAATCTTATGTGTATTGCGATAAGGTATCATTTTGTATCCTGATGATCTTGTGACTACGTGACTTCCACGTAACCAAATGCCATGTTGTAATCATTAGCTGAAGTTTTATTTCGTCTTTATCTCGTTGATATACAGTCTATTTTGGCATGTTTGCAACCAAATACTTACGTTATGCACGTCAGAACAGATTCTTGATAATGTTCTTCAAACATTCTAACAATTTTATTCGCTTGCTTCACGATGTCGAAGAAATAAATCTGAAATATCAAAATAATATTACTATGTTACGTAAGAGTTTATCGCACCTTTATTTTATTACTATATTATAGTATTTTATAACTTTGTTCTAAATATTATGTAATATCTTTTATATTCTTTATAACTTTATATTATTTCAGGTAACAGGTAATGCAAATAATGGTTAGATCACGTGATCCTGTCAACAATCTGACGAATAGAAATTGGTGTGGCAAGCGCCTGTATGACATAATATTAAATGAGAAGAAAACGGAAATCGTCTTTGATATTACACGAATTTTATCTCACAATAATATAAATATAGAACTTGCGCAACTGTTGCGCAAAGTCGATTTGTTGCGCAAATATTTGTAAGGTCAAAATGTTTGTTAACAATTTATTCTACGGTCGAGTTCTCTTATGTGCAAAATAATATTTGTATCGATCGTTTCGGGCAAATTTCACAATTAAAGTAATATATACTTTATGATCAATAGCACAGAACTAGAATTTATCACGATGTTTGGTAATAGGCGCCTAATATGACTTGAAAATTTTTAAGTGGGTAAGTTTACTTACCCTTTTGTAACAGTGCCATTATCTTATAATATATTATGAAATATGTTTGATTACCTGTGGTGGTGGCGACTTGCTATCGGCTATTGGAATGGACTGCAAGCCCAAATCGAGTGCGTAATCCACATGTTCAATAAGTAGGTGTTGTATTACCACTTCTAGTAATGCTACAGTGGTGCCTGACAGCTCGTTTGCAGTGCACAGCTGAAAATGTAATGAGTTATTATAATGATACACTGCACGATTGCTACAGTGGTTATTGCGTAACATGTTGCGGATTCGCTCTTTGTCTAATCCACAAGATGTTGTTCTGGGTTTGATGTTTATATAATATAATAAATTTTACTGACTTTTTAAAAAGGAGGTTAGGCTCACCCCCTATTACATGACACTCATAACATAAATAGTGAAAAGTGGGTGTTACTTCTGTGTGCACCTCTACCTACCCCTTCGGAGATAAAAGGCGTGATGTTATGTTATGTTATTATGTAAAAAGGAGGTTATCAATTCATTTGTATGTTGTTTTTTTTTTCGATCACAAAACATACAATATCATAAGACGTATCATAATAAAGTGGGGGAGAGCTTCGGTACGAATGGGCCGGCTGGACCGCAGTGATACCACGGCCTTACAGAAAACCGACCAAGTACTCACCCTCCCCAGTCTCCCCAATCTCCTAATCCCCACAATCTTCAAATAACCCAATTCCCAATTGGACGGTAATGCACTTGTAACGCCTATGGTGTTTCAGGTGTCCATGGGCGACGACGTTTGGCTCCCATCAGGTGATCCGTCCATAAAAAAAATTTAAAAAGAGATTTCTTATTTAAAGATACTCACAGTCTTGCATCTCGTAAAAGAAGTCTTAGCATCGGTGATCATCTTTTGAACAAGTTGTTCGCTTAGGAAGGTCTCCCCTCCATAGTTTTCTATCTGTGCTATATTGATATTCGTCCGTGCTTGAAGCTCACGCCTTAATTCTTGGAACCTGAATGTAAATATTTAAACTATCAGATTTTTGGCCAAGGGTATTGTTTTACTGTATTGGTCTTGGACTTGGTAGATTACAGTAGAGTAGAAAACATTTGTCATCGCCTCTATTTTCTAGGTATCGTAACAATCGACTAAAGGACTACAGATTTAAAAGATAACGGCTCTGATATATCTCTTTCTCTTTGTACAAAGTTGCCCCACACTAGGACTTTCTCATGCGTTGTAGGTGCGGTTACAAACATATAAGTTCACATACACATGACATCCAGACCAGAAACAATAATTTGTGAATCACACAACCAGTTGATGCGTGCGGGAATCGAACTCACTACACGTTAAGCGGCAACAGTTACCCAGGTACCGCGCCAATCGTGTAGTCATTTTCTGTTCTTTTAAACAGCGATCTATTTTAAGCGAGAATTATGTTAGACCCCGCTTTGTGGTCTCATAGTCCACCATTGGAGACTCACTGGCTGTTGAACCACGGAACATAGTCCAGTAATTAAGATTAACTCGTTAAGTACCGTCATTATAGAACAATAGGTTGCGGTCACCGGTGACCGCTTGGTGTTTGACAGTTTAAATGGTAGAACTAATAATGTTGTGGCACGGAAGTTGAGATACCCACTTCTCAATCATAAGGGTGCGGGTTCGTAACCCACCAACGTAAGTACTAATGTGAGACTTGCCGAGTTATATGTCCTTTCTAAACTTTAGACACCACTGAAAAGCGGCAAAGGAAAACATCTTAAGGAAACCCGGTCTTATAATTATAATAGGCATGGCGACTATTTTTTAATTTTTTGTCCGTCTTTTAGATATTTTAAAAATCTTCGATACGTATTTTTTCTTTTTTCTCGTATCCAAAAAAACATGTAGATATTTTGAGTTAAAATGACGCGTGACGTCACAATTAGGTACGATTTCTCCGTAAGTTTAATGCGGAATAACTACGTATTCTTCTGTTAATTTGATAAAACAAAAAATACGTGTCTGATATTTTCGTGCGATCTTAATGACGGACTAATTACTTTTTTGATTTTTTTTTGCTCAGCAGTAGGCTTATAGGCAGTTGATGTAAATGGTAGTTATGTTCACTCAATAACATAAACAAGTGAACTTACCCACCACCCTGTATAGGCTTTTTAACATGTTGCTTCTCTGTATAGTATGTGTTCAAAGCGTTGGACATCGTAGCTTTAAGTCTTCGTATTTCTAAAGACGCGTATCCATCGTTGGCGCCGGCCATGGCACCATTGACAAGTGCGTCTCTACGGAGGTCGCCTGTGGTTGTATTACCTTCTGCGGACACTAGACCAGCTAGTACTAACTCGTCGCATACTCGCTGCGTACTGGAAATAATAATAATAATAATTTTATTTTTGGACTTTATGTTAAATATTATTGAATCTTCGTTTGTAAATAGTGTGTTGAAAGTTCATGACCATTTTTATTAACACAGACTTTCAGTCAATATATTACTCTAATTTGGTAATGATAAAGCTTTTATTTAACCTGTTTAGATCTTTTTAGTATTTTTCGGTCGTCATAACCATATGACCTACTAACAACTTTGTAACAGTCAAATTAATGTACCAATGAGCCAGCTCATTATGTGGGAATCACAATACATATTTGTTCTTTTTTATGGTATAAGGCCGGTAACCGAGCAGACAGTACAATCAGCGTCGCCCATGGACACCTGGAACACCAGAGGCGTTACGAATACATTACCGGTCTTTTGGGGATTATGAAATTGAGGATGATACAACGCAAGCATTGTTTCACGTCGGTTTTCTGTGAGGCCGTGGTATCACTCCAGTCGAATCAGCCCATTCGTGCCAAAGCATGGCTTTACCACACTTCTTTTGCCTATCACTTCAGAGTGCAAAAGCCTTGACGTTGTTATACTACTAACAAATAATTAAACAATCCTCACCTAGTATACATATCATAAAGATTCCTCAAATATTTCTCCACATCGTTTTTATCAGCGAGTTTAGTTTGGATGTATTTTTGCAGCTTCAGGTGGAAGATGTTCAGCACAAACTTGCTCATCACCTGGTCAGGGTTGGGGAACACATTGCTGATGATGGTGTAGTTCTTCTTGCATAGAGGCAGTACTGCGGAGAATATGTCCTTGCCCAGTAGTGTGTTCTAGAAATAAATTTAGGGAAAATGTTTAGAATGGTATAAATTGATGATGATCATGATGAAAAGGCTTGTGCAACCGAAAGAAATATAGCAAAGAGCTCAGATTTAATCCCCAGGTCATTCAAATTAATTTTTCAAAATGCACTAGTTTCCATAAAAACATAGCCCCACACTGTGTCACACACAAATTCACATTCTGCCTTAGCCACTTATGACTTAGCCACTGCGCCTAATAACTTCACTGAAAACTTACGAAATATTCAAAATGACAAATAGAAAATGAACATAATGCACCAGCTAGTCTGCAGTATGAAAGCTATTATATCAAAAATTAAATTATTTTAGTTAAAAAACTTACCATCTGACTAGTTTCAATAAAGGCATCGACACATTGCGAGTATCCCTTAAAGTTGGTCATAATATTAGCTATTTCCTTCATCTTGGTCATATTGCCTTGATTCTGGGCCTTCACAAACTCTTCAATGAGGTTCCTTTCGATTTCATCATACTTCGCTTCTATTTTCTTCTTGGCAACTTCGAATTTGTCCGGTGGCAACTCTTGAGCGATTGTGTGAAGTTTCTGTATTACATCTGCTGCTTCGTTTAACTGTAATATTAATTTGACATTTCATTAATCCTATTATGAGTGATTGTGGTCTATGTAAAGGTATAGTCACAGTTTAGATTAAACTGTCAAACACCGAGCGGTCACCGGTGACCGCAACCTATTGTTCTATAATTGTGTCTATAATGACGGTACTCGACGAGTTAAAGAATTAATCTATTGTTAGGTTTTTAATAATTTTCAGTCATAATTTTAAATCCTCTTTAAATAATATACTTGGGTCAAATGTTATTATAATTTACAAGTAGTTAATTATAGTTCTAAACTAGTAAGCCAAAAACTATTTACATACTTTGTCATTTGCCTTTGGACCATTTTGTGGAAATTACAGGCCATTATAATATGCTACACTAACCTTGCTAGAATCATTGAACAAATCAATTAACACAGGTCCAGGGCTTAGGAAGTGTGACAGATGTGACAACAGATCCCTGGCGGCCGCAGCCCTCGCCCGCGGCGCACGCGCAGCTCCCAACTTCTCGCCGACGTCTAAGGCACGCCCCCCACAACGCGACATACGCTCATCTAGAGCACTGAACACTCCTACACAATGCTGGAAAAAGAAATAGTTTATTATTATGTATCTCTTTTTGTCTTAAGGACTGATTTTTCCAATGCTAGACAAATATCGGAGAAATAATTTTGAATATTTGGCAATTCAAAAATAAAAACTTCCGCACGGTTTCACCTGTCTGCTCAGTACATATTGATTGTAATATGATGTTTTATAACCTATAGCCTTCCTTGATAAATGCACTATCCAACACAAAAAGAATAATTCAAAACAGTTGTTGAACTGTTGAGCTTCATATTATATTAATCATATTTTAAATAAGTATAAGTTAAGAATTATCTGTTGATTGAAAAATCAGTGCTTAGTCAATAAGGCTTTTAATTATTATTTGCTGTTGTTTATAAACTTTTCCTCTTTAGCCACAATCTCCATACAAACTGTAGTTTGATTAGCATGAACTAATTTTAAGAATAAGTAATTTTCAATTTCTATCCAGAATTAATAAATTTAATTCATTTAATATTACTGTCATCTATTTTCTATTAAATACTTTTAATCACCAAACTGAATGTAACAAAACAGTGTTCACAAAAAGAAACTTTATCACATGGGAAATAAAAGTAAAATTGACATACAGTATGTTGATCCATGATTTCAGCTAGTTTAGCACCATATAGCTTCTCCTCTTCCTGAACAGATTGCTCCAGTCTTGCACATTTCCTTTCTTGTCTTTCTTGTAAGACCTGATTAACAATAATGTTTCTAAGAGAATGCAAATATTCTAGATTTACAAATCAATTAAACTCTGACTTTAGACACAGAATGTAAGTAATAGTAAAAATGTGTTTATTTCTTTAAATCTGTACAATTAAGTTGCTGGGCTTCCCAGAAAGTAATACGAAGATAATTGTGATGGGATAAACCTCGCTCCTCCTTCATTTTTGGTTGTACTAATTAGGTACAAGTAACACATTCTTATAAAACGGTTAATGAATGTACCTTGAAACAAAAAAATGGAAACCTTATAAGGTTACTATGTCTATCTATTATTAATGTCGTTTGTCTTTCAATGTGCCCAGTATACAGGAGAAAACCCTAATGTTGAACCACATTAAGAAATCCAAAGTAGAACATTACTGCGTCCATTACTAACAACAGCTCCTAAATCACATAATTATAAGTTTGTATACCAAATTCACCATTGTTCTTAGGCTTTAAGATTCAAAATGTAACAAGAGATGTTCACATACCTTCAGATCTTGTATGGCTTGAGTAAAAATGTCATGTATCATTTCAGGATCAAATTGGTCGTCTTGTAAACGCGACTCTTGCATGCTCCTTCTCACCATTCTCTCCACAAATTCATCAGGATCGAACGGATCCTATAAATCAACAAGAAGATAAGTAATATACAAAATAAATTATGTTTTTAAGACTTCTCATCAAAGATATCCGGACAATATAATTGTGAATGTTTACTTACCTGTTCTAACTCTTTTATATATTGGTTCATCATCTTGGATAATTATATGTTAACTACAGTTTTCGTTATTTAGAAATTATTCCTTTTTCATATTATACTTAGTTTCTAAATAAAAAGTTTATCAATACAAAACGCCTACTTTTTCTATCAAGAGTAGGTATCAAGAATATTTTGAAGTTTGATGACAAGTCCATTGAAACTTGACATTGACATTGACGCTTGACACTTTAGATTTGATTTGACAGATATCAGAAAATATGCGTTCAAGGATCTCACTAACTTAGCAGGTGACACGTTCAAAATAAAATAAAAATGTGAAAAAGAATAAGGCATATACTTTTCAAAAAATTCAGTGATAATCAATGACACTATCTAATTCAGGGAGAGGACACTTATTTAAGAAGTATCAAACAAAGTGGAGCCCTGACTCTTTAGCTCGGTGAGAAGCTCTGCAGTGTCACTAAGCCAGTAGATAGTTAGTATTACGAGGAACATATAACATAACATAACATCACGCCTTTATCCCCGAAAGGGTAGGCACTCACTTTTCACTATTTATGTTATGAGTCCCATGTAGTAGGGGGAGAGCCTGTTGCCATATATCTGGCACAATTCCAGACTCCAAGCTACTACCGATATTTTTTTTAAACCCAGTAGTACTTTGACCGACCCGGGAATCGAACCCGAGACCCCTTGTCCGGCAGTCGCACTTGCGACCACTCGACCAACGAAGCAGGAACATATCTATTTCTTATTTATACCAACTATGTACTAACAAGTCGTGGTAGACTCTCAAGTATATGTATGCGGGTTTCAAACCTAGAAAGTATTGATCCATTGATGTAAACTTATATAAAAACGTACGGTATAAAAAAAAATTACGAGGATACATACATACATACACATGTAACCTTAGGCCTGTCTTCCAAGGGGGTAGGCAGAGACTATGGAACGCCAATTGCTACGATTCTTACGTAGGCACTTCTTTCGCTTCATCAATAGTCATGAGTCTTTTCACGTATACTCGTCGGTTAAGAGCACTTTTAATTTGGCCTTTAATATATTGCCAATCTGGTCCACATATGTCCGTTTAAGGCGCCCTCTACCGACATCCCCATTCATATCCGCTTTGTATACATCTATCGTTACTCTACTTTCATCCATCCTTTCAACATGTCCAACCTATCGTAACATTCTCTTTTCAATCCTTGTCACTACACATCATCTTTTAATCCACACCTTTCTCTAATAAGACTATTTTTCACTCGATCGCTCAATTTTAATCCACACATAGGTACTTCTCAGGCGTCTCATTTCCACCGCATTAATCCTGCTTATGAATGTCGTGGTGGCCCGGAGGTTTAAGACGCCCGCTTCTCATGCATGAGGGTGCGGGTTCGAAACCTACCAACGGCAAGTACCAATGTGACTTTTTCCGAGTTATATGTACTTTCTAAGATTATTTAGACACCACTGACAAACGGTGAAGGAAAAACATCGTGAGGAAACCTGGACTTATAATTTCTAATTTTAAGTTTGAAATCGCTAACCCGCATTGAGCAAGCGTGGTGATTAACTCGTCGAGTACCGTCATTATAGACACAATTAAAGAACAATAGGTTGCGGTCACCGGTGACCGCTCGGTGTTTGACAGTTTAATGCTCAAACCTTCTCCGTGCGAGAAGAGGCTTTGCTCAGCAGTGGGCATTTATAGGCTGTTGTTGAATCCTGCTTATGTTTCTTCTAGCATACCCATGATTCACTATCATACTTAAGCGTTTGTGTCAATACATGCTATATTACAGCAAGTAGAGCTTTGCTAGATATATAATTTTACTTGATATTATAGAGTGCAAGGCAATAGGCACGCATTTTCTCTGGCTTCACGCTACGAGGATAGGTATCTGAGCCAAACTTATAATACTTGTTGGAAACCGTCAAATTACCTCGATACGTGATGATTGTAATTCTTATTCCTCTTTACGTTTGAGAGAAGGTCTTATCTCAACCCTGTTATGGTTGCAGACTGGTGATGGTGATGATGCAATGTGCCTAAGTAACAATTCAAAAATTCATACCCGATACGACCTTTAAACCTTCAAGAAAATAGCGTATCCCTTTTTAAAAGGCCGGCAACGCACCTGTGACTCCTCTAGTGTTGCGGGTGTCCATGGGCGGCGCTGATCGCTTACCATCAGGTGATCCGTATGCTTGTTTGAATCTTATTCCATAAAAAAATTGAGTGTCAGAAAATAACTATCATCATAAATTGTATCATTTTACAAACAAGTACATACCTATTGTACTTACTTATAGATAGGTATATAGGTAATGGGTACTCATGAAAGTTCATTTAACTACCTCCATTTCAAACGAAAGTCAAGGTAGGTATTTGCATAAAAGGTTTTAGTTGTACCGAAAAGTTACGTTTTCTGTAACAATAATTTTTACCTTCGATCAACAACTTAAACTTAAATGATTTTAACAGAACCTACTCAGCTTCTTTTACACTTTTACAGAACTTCCATACGAATAGATCATGCTATTTACTATTGCAATAAGTATCATTTCCAGCCTTCAGGTTTGCTTACTGGCACATTGAGGCCTTATTATAAAGCCTATAAGGCTTTTTAGTCTTTGGTTATTTTCTATCTAGAACTTTAGGTCCATATCCGTTGTTTATGTTCTATTTTCTCAACCTTTTTCTGGAGTAATATGGTTTGTTTTCAATAAAATCTTTTTACGATTACTATAATACAGGCTTTTCTGAAAAAATATCATTTTAATTTTAGAAACAAAAGAAAAAAAAGTCATCAATGTAGCAAATACGTCTTTTTGGAAGATTTCTTACTAGTGAAAGCGTTTTTTATATCCAAATTCTTTGTGATGTCGTAATATTTTAACAAAATTTTGTGCGTGCTATTGACGATTAATTATTATTATATCGATTTACACTCTTTCATGAGAGTTGTGTGTAAGGCTAATACCAATCGAAAGGCTAACATTTTGACAGGAGAGCCACTGAAACCTTGGACATACGTGAGTAGTGAGATGTCCAATGTATCCTAAACGGGTTAGGATAAAGTCGATAGAGCTCAATGGCTGAGCGCCTCAGCCCTCGAAGCTCCGAGGTGAATGCCTTGGAACAACGAGGCTATCTCATCGGCAAGAAAATCGGACAAGGATCATATGCCACCGTCCACCTGGCTGAGTACTGCGATGCATCCAGCCCAAAGCGGATGCACCTTGCGTGCAAAATATTTGATAAAGAAAAAGCACCTCGGGATTTTTTAGAAAAGTTTTTTCCTCGTGAACTTGACATATTGACTAAGATCGAGAACCCTCATATTATTCAAGTACACAGTATTTTACAGCGTGGGCCGAGAGTGTTTATCTTCATGCGTTATGCTGACAATGGCGATCTGTTGGATTTCATAAAACGCAATGGAGTTGTGCCAGAAAACCAGGCAAAGCTTTGGTTTAGACAAATGGCTAGTGGCTTACAATATCTCCACAGCAAGAATATCGCACATCGTGATCTGAAATGTGAGAATATATTGCTGTCAAGACGTTTCAACGTGAAGTTGGCGGATTTTGGATTTGCTCGGTTCTGCACGGACGGTGAAAATCGCCGTGTACTCAGTCAAACGTATTGTGGCTCCGCTGCATATGCCGCCCCTGAGGTGGTGAGTGGCACGGCCTATAACCCCAAACTCGCTGATGTGTGGTCTCTCGGAATTATCCTTTTCATAATGCTGAACGCTTCAATGCCGTTCGATGATTCGAATCTACGCAAACTACTCAAGGACCAAATGTCACGCAACTGGGTTTTCAGGCTCAGGATTCGTGATACAATATCGGCGGCAGCCAAGTCTATCGTGCGGCACATTCTAGAGCCTGATATCACGCTCCGCCTGACCCTGGACCGGGTGTTGTCGCACGAGTGGACTAGGCCTCGCAAAGACAAGAGCGCGAGTCTAATGGGTCGGTTGGTTCAGTCGGCTCCGTCGGCGCCGCATTCGCCAGGCAAGCGCGAGCACGACGAGGCCGGCACGTCGGCCGGCGCGCGGGTCTCCGGCGACCACCGTGAGACCGAGCGCGAGCGGCACGACGACATCAACATGCGCTCGCACGACTAACGCACCCTATAGTAATAATATAATGTATCGATAATGTTTACGCAAAAAGTGTTAATAATCTTGAAATATTTTTGACCTTCAAAAATTGAAAATTCCCTTTATTATTTTGATTTTTTTTTACAATTGACGACTTAACTATTGTTGGTCGGCAATAGTGAAAATAAAGTTTTTATATAAAATTCCATAATTCTGTTTTTGTATTTCTTTCCAATATTTATTTCTTGTACCTATTTAATAATCTTAGTGATTAATAAGCTTATTTTTATGTTATTTTGCCAATAACTTGGACAAATATTCTTTTACAAGTACTTATTTCACATTACAATAACTGGTGCTTAGTGGGTTCTACAATGTCACATGGTTTTTGTTTCTTCTCCATGTGTTCCAAGTTCTACTGTGAGATGGCTTAACCGAGTAACCAACAATTCCAAAAGGTATGTTGAGAAATGGAAACCTAACATAAAACGATAGTGAAAAAGTTTTATCATTATATACAACATCAACTGCTGACATGGGACTGACATACTCCGCTCTTAGATATGTGAATTTCTGCTCCAAATCGCTGCGTTGTGGCTAAAACAAAGAAAGAGGAGTTGGGAATTATATAATATTCCTTAGACCTTAAAACATAGGATATATATGTGTGGCAGGAAAGGAAAGGGCGTTGTGTGTGAGTGAGTTTCGTGAAATAGGAAATAGTCGTAAGTGCGACTGTTCGTCCGCTTCGTTTTCACAAAGGGGAACACTTCGTTTCTCCCTCCGAAAGCTCCTTTTCTTAATGAGAATGAAATCGAGTTGTAATTGTTTTTCATTCTTAATTCCATGCTATGATATGCAGTTTGGAATTGAGCACGGGATATCAGAATCGGCTCACTTTCATACTACCCTATTTTTCTTCGTGACAAATCTCATCTAAATTCGCTTAGCCGCCTTGGCAACAATTACTAACATCCACCCATCTTTAGTTGAATCAACAGCTTTATTACAAATAAGTACTACTTAAAGTGTAACAAATAACAATCTAATTAGACTTACCGTCACATTTTGTGTAAAAATGGGAGTAAACGGTGGAATGTAACCGTTAATTGCAAGTGATACTTCCTCGCCTTCAACGTGGATACCTTTTAAAATAAACAATTACTGTAGTAAAGGGATATAACTAAATAAGTCATCTGGTCTCTTCGTCATCATCGTCACATCAGCAGTAGATGTCCATTGCGGCACTGCATTCCCCAAGAACTTCCAGGCCGGCCGTTTGAAAATCAGATGCATCTAGGTCAGCTAGGTTGAACTGAAGTCGGTCTCGGGCCGCCATGTCATCGGTTATGAGAATAATCTCGACCAATGACGGGCGAGAAAGCGATTGAGATCACTTAGAAAGTTCGAATTGATAGTTACAGAATAGCCTGCTAGACCTCTTTAGCTTCTGAGAATTTTTGTAAAATAGAAAAATGGTCCTCGCTTAATTGATGGTCATAGTTAGATATAAGCATACCAGAAGCAAGAAAATGTGCCAGTGGTTTACATAAGTGAACTTAGGAGGCCCATCAAAAAAGAACCAGTAGCGTAGTTCAGTTGGTGGATAACGACCAAGGACTAGTTTACCAAAATTTTACATACCCACCGTATTCAAAAAATGATATTAGTATAACAGATGCCGTAGTATTTGGTACTTCAGTGTTACAACAAATGAAAACATATGATAATAAGAATCCAAGCCTATAATTCTTTAGGATCCCGTACATTATCTCTTAGTAGTTGACTGAACATGTGCTTCTGATTATTTTCCATGTCATACAATCATTGATAAAAGCCATATCAAATTGAAAATAATAAGCTGGGTAAGTGTGTTTTGATAACTAGTGATTGTAATGCTTATTTATATCATTCATTTTCTGAGTGTACAAGTCTGAACTGAACACTTCTTCACTTATAAAGGAAATCTTATATTCTTCACTTATAAAGGAAAGAATATCTTTTTTAGAACATTAGCGTTACTTATATTATAGTTAAATATTTAGCAAATGTGTGTGAAAATTACAGGAAATCCATTCAGTCGTTTTTACGTAGTACTGGAACATGCTTTTGAGGGGCCGACGTTTGATCACTATCTCGTGTGATGGTAAGCGATGATTAGGTCTACGATGGAGTACGTCGACCCATAAGCAACCTATTCACTCGGGTCTTGAAAACTCCTAGGTTACCCTTCAGGAAATACAGACTCTGGCAAAGAATTCCACTCTTTAGCAGTACGCACAAGGAAGCTTGAAGCGAAGCGCTTCGTGCATGTGGGCGGAACATCTACCATGAATCGGTGACGCTTTGCCGATTGTCTTGTGGTACGATGATGGAAAGGACTGGGGGGAATCAAGTTGTGTAATTCCCCCGCACACTCACTGAAATGTATCCGGTAGAAAACCGAAAGGCTTGCAACCTTACGCCTGTGTTCGAGGCTTTGAAGCCGAGCCTTTACAAGTGCATCATCGTCGATGTGCCTCGTGGCACGCCTCTCAATGTGCTCTAACGTCCATAAGCAACCTATTCACTCGGAGCTTAAAGACACCAGGTCATACTCAAATACATACAGACAAATAGTACGATAAAAAATTCTGGAAATATTACCAGAACTGTGTGTGTAACTAGGAAATTAATTTTAGCACTGGTCTTTCATCCCATCCATCTATTCATCGATCTTTTGACAAGATCATCATCATCATCAACAGACCGTTACAGTCCCTGGACTATGGCCCATCTCTAGTTACTTATACATAATACTAGTTTATCAGAAAGTGCTGCTTCTTGGTCACTATCAATTTGTGTGTGTGTAGTTGTTATAACCACCTTGTAAAGAACCTGCCACCTTGAGAAGGGCTACTCTATTGTAAAGTTCATTCAAAACTCAACGATTATTGAAAAGTTAGGTACAAAAATCTTTATTTTCTAACTCCATTTGTTCCGTTATACATCAGTAATTGTAACTGCTGATGAATTTACGCTAGCAGTTGTAAATGTGCGGTTGTGGTTGCATAGTTGGTACGTTCTTATGACAGCATTCCCGAGGAATCTGCCTGTAGGATCCTGGCGGACCACGTGCATGTATTCGTCTCCAAGGGTGAACTGGACTTGTGGGGGAGCAGCCCAGTCACAAACTGTTGTCACTGCCTTGTTTACTGTTGGCGGGTTTACGCAGAACAGCTGGAAATAAAATACGTAAAGATTATCACGACTAGACTAACAGATATCTTACACATTTTTGAAATATTCTGCTAAATCAGGTATATTAAAGGCATCGATGTCAATGCATGGCTTCACTACACAGGTATTGAGTTTGAGATCACAATCACAATAATTTATTTTTCCTCTTTAGTATGGTAGCTCATTGAATGTACTACGTCGTAACTCACGTGCGAATAGTTTTTACATCAAAAAGTACTTTAGTAGTTATTTAATGCTTAATAGACGCACAAGTAAATACAATACGATTAACTTTTTTGTTAAGAAAAAAATCAAACGTTCCATTGTTTTTTTTTCATGTTTTGTTGAATTGAATAGCCGGTAAATCGATGGAAGGTCACCGGATGTTTTGACGGTTCATAAGTATAATCAACACTATATGAAATGAATTACATTACACTTGTTGCTCAGCAAAAGGGCAATGGACAGTTGCATAAACTGTATCACCGTCATTCATATTCATTGGTTTCGGCATTCGTAGAATATAATTATTTCCTAATTGTGGACTGTAGGCGATGGTATTATCAAAGACTGGGTAAAGTTTCAGGCAGAATATTAGGTTGTAGGAAAATATTTTTAAAACTGTATTAGCGTTCTTTTTTAAGGGACAGCGGCGGCAAACAGTCAGACAGATCACCTGATGGTAAGCAGAAGTTGCAATTAAAAATGTGGTCGTTACACTTACTTGTTGATAGGCCTCATGCTGTCCAGGCTGAATGTAAGCGACTGGATAATCATATTTGTACCTAGATTGGTAGTCTGTATCTAAAAAAGAAAAAAAAAGACATTGGTGACCACAGCATCCTCAGTTTTATGTACGCAAGTGGATATGCAATTTCGATTTATTTTGACCTATGTACAACTTTCATTATTATTTTCGGAGAGTTCTTATGGTTGGCACTTGTGAAGTTGATTTTGGAACACGCTTGTCTCTGGTGTAGCCTGTATTACCTAACTACCTACTTACTTAGGGAAACTGATAAGTATCTTTCTTTCTTTCTTTCTTACGTTGCCCCACATTAATATTTTCTCCTGTATCGTGTTATGTTCACATACACATAACACTGGGCGTACACTCCCGGAACTACAATCTGTGGATCACACAAAGCGTTGTTCCGTGCGGGAATTAAACCCGCGGCACATTGCACGGCAGTCAATTGCGTAGCCACCACCCCAACCATGCAGCTGCAACGGTCGTATCAAGATCAAGCGGTCCATAAGTTCTTTGGCGCCACTAGTAGTAAAAACCAAGACCCACATAGATACCTTGTTATTAAACAGCCAAAATAATGACAATCTTAACAAAACTCGTGATATTTCTAACAAAATGGTCACTAGGTTAGAGACTGAAGGACACTGATGTGTCTACTACGCAAAGCGCGTGGGAAGCCGCATCCTTACTATTATAAATGGGAAAGTGAGTTTGTTTGTTTGTTCCGCTTTCACGCCGTAACTTCTAAACCGATTGCTTTGAATTTTTACAGACGTAAAGTTATAAGTCCGGATTAAATAATAGAGTACTTTTTATCCCGTGAAAATTTGATATTCCCGAGGGAAAACAAAAGTATCAGTATAGATGGCGCTGTGTATTGGTATATGTCACATTGGCTTTTTATCCTTTTGTGACGCGAGCGAAGCCGCGGGTAAAAGCTAGTAAGTTTATAAGTCTTTGATGCTCCTTGTGTACCATGGGACAAGGATTTAAGTTTCTGTGAAAAACATACGATACCAAATATAGCTATAGGTAAGACGGTAAGACCTGAGGCTGTGAGAGGAAAAAACAAATATATGATAAAGTTCCATGCAGTAGGTACCTAATATTTTTTTAGACAGAATGTAAACACGTTATCTCATGGAACAAAGTAATTATTATCTTACATGTGTTCCGAATAAGGTCACAAAAACAGATCACATACCTAGGTAGGTACCTATCTAATGTTTTTGTTTATTGTTTCAACGATTTGTTTTTTAAACTTTTATCTAGACCTATATTACGTTATAATATAACAACATCACGGTTCACGACTGTTTCCTCAACGCAATATTTAGGTAGGTAAAGATGGTAGATTTCCACATGTGGGTATGCAACCTTCCCCGCTTCCCATAGGAATATTTTTGGCTACATCAGGTGGATTAAACGTCTACCTACCTGTAGTACATATACATTTATTATTTGCTTTATGTAGGTAAATTGGGTGCTTTCCTTAATCAAAAATATATTATTTGGACTGTTAGGTACAATGAAATATTTAAAAAAATGGCACATTTTCATTAATTGATTTTAATTTTAGTATTTTTCCAGCAATTTTTTAAGAATTAGGTAAGTTTATTAATGCTAAAAACGCGTGGCGTCACAATACACTATCTCGTACAACATTCAAAGAAAAGTGTCGTTTTTGACCGTTCGAAAAAAGTATTTTGAATCCGACTAGTTGGCAAGTACCCAATTAAAGATGTAGGTAATTAAAAAAAAAATAAGCTAGGTACTTAAATTACCTTCTATGAGTTAAATGAATGTGCATAGTGAATATTTCTATTTAGCACTTATGTTTTCAAAAGCGAATAACATGTTTGATTGATTAAATATTAATAATACTTTCACAGTAATTTAAACTTACATAGGCACTCAATTAGGTACAGGCACAGCTACACCCAGCGTCAAATGATTGTAAGAAACAAATGAAATTGAGCCAGAGAATTTAAAATGTCTAAGTAAAGTACTGTTAGCTTTGGAAAATATTTCCAATTATCCAACAGTTCAGAATACTTAAGCTGACATTACGAAACAGGACTGAACTATTGTTTTAAATAATGAAATTAAACAACTTACCCTTAGTTACTTGTGTGCAATGTGGGGGTGTATTCTGCTTTTTAGAATTAGCTCTTCTTGAATGCAGGTGTTTAGTACGGTGCCTTTCTTTATAAGCATCTGATAACACGCATAACATTAAAACGAGGAGCAACGCGGAGCACTTCATCTTGCCGAAATTCGAAACACGACTGACGCTGGCACTCTGTTTACTTATTACCATCGCGTAGTTCGCAGTATATACTTATCAGGAGCTAATTATGAACACTGCGGCCGTTAAAGTCAGGGATCGCTGTGAAATTAATAAAATACTGCGTAACTATAGGAACATAGGTACGTTTTGATCACATGTTCTACTGGTTAAATGACCGATTAGTTAAAGCTGAAAAGTATTTTGATATTGATTCGAATGGAATGATTATTTTTAGCTCACTTTCTAATCCATATAATGCGAGTAGAATCCTCCAATGGAGCTGGATTGTGCGGGTGCTACGCGACGTCATCGCAATTTCCAATTTTATTTACATACGAAACTCCTAACTTAATTCTGTTCAGACTGAAAATCGAGTGCGAATGCTAGCGATCTTTACAAGCTCTCAGAATTCCCGTTTGTTGGAAACCTTCCTTTTTGTGTTAGGTAGTCTACCGAGGATAGCTATAGGCTGTAAAACATCACACTACGATCAATTGGAAATGAGCAGAGCTGATGATACCGCGTAAGCTAGTTAAATTGTAGGTATACCTAATTCCTAATTTTATCATTTACTTAGGTGTTTACCTAAGTAAATTAATAGAGGTAAGTATCTATCTGACGGGTCTTTTTGTAAGGAACCATGACCATCATTGTTTGTTCAGGTCTGGCTAATTGGGTATCTAATTCAAATAGCATATTTATAATTAGTTCCTTCCTTCCTTATTAAACTCCATATAACCTATTTTATTATGCATTGATATAAATAAATTAATGTAGGTAATACCTATAGTTTGTGTAGTTATCCTCAAACGAAGTGATAAAACATTACTTACATACTTGATGTCAATTATTATTTTTTGTATATAAGCATACACTTATAGATTAGCAACTATAGGCTTAGTTATTTCTAGGAATTCCACACTTCACAATTTAATTAAATAAGTACCTACATAGTTACTATGTCGCATTTTCCAGAACGAGAGTTAACTAAGTACCTTTTGAGATATAGCGCTTTTTGTTAACAGTATTACCTTATGTAATTATTCTAGAATAAGAAGGATCTAGTTATGATAAATGTTAGTACCTATAAAATCTATTACCTATTTAATAAAATACACTTTAAATTCTAGAGGCTGTTGTTGTGAACTTACTTTAGTAAAATACTGGCTACTCCCGCTCTGCTCAGCTCCTATTGATCGTCGCGTGGTATTTTATAGCGTATTGCCATCCTCGACAGAACGAATTGACTAACCAACACAAAAATATTGTTTCAAATCTGTTCAGTAGATTCTGAGATTAACGCGTTCAAACAAATAAACAAATCAACCCTTCAGCTTTATATGATAATTGATAGTATAGGATAGGATATGATAAGATTTAGTTTTTTGCTGAAAATTCTTTCGTAAGTAATAAGCATGAAAGATAAATAATTAGTATGAGGAGAGGACTGAGCAGTAAGCAATACGTTGATAAGTTTTAAGGTTTATGTTGGTAATTAACAGCTATTTACTTAGTTGCCATCGACATGAAAAAGTTACGTAGGTATTCCGTTATTCTGATTTCAATCAAGCCAAGAATAGGGTAGATGCCTAATTTTTATTTTAATGTGTGTCTGGTAGATTATTCCAAATCATTAGACACGTATTTTTTATTTTCTTACGGAAACGAATAGTTTCGAAGATATATTGATTTGAAATATCGCATGACGTCACTTTTGAGAACGATTTATATTCTAAAATGACGTAGCTACCTCCCACTCCCTAAACTTTGATTCGTTTTATCTAAGTAGGTACCTATTGTTTTCTTTAAATAAACAAATACGTGTCTAATATTTTTTCATTATCTAACTGACGGACTAATTAGATTTTTAATATTAATAAAGGTAGGTACATATACATACATAGGATATGAACCTACTTACCGAATTAGTTTCCAATAATGTTCAACCAAACATAATTTATATACTTGCTTTTTACAAACTGAATACCACTATGTATTTGCTTACTAACATATTTTAATCAGGTTGGCGTGAAATTCGATAAACTTTTACACAACCTCATTCGATAAAATGTAGGCAAGATGAATGTAGGTAAAATAGAAAATCCATTATAATTTAATATGCAAGTACCTACATTTAGATTAGTATCTTTTTGTTTTTGATGACTGGGGAAACCTTCAAAAGATGCCTAGCTTTTTGGGGAGAAAGGGAGTGGGGGACTTTAACTTTACTAAATCCACCCCTAAGTACGTACCTATCTAGGTAGTTATTACTAGTTATCGTACCAAGATCCACGGCAATTTGTAAAGATACTGACAGACAGACAGTGTCCATTAGTAGCACGTGTGTAATGTAATGAGCATGCTTATTTAGAGCGTGCTCAAAAATCAAATGATGTTCGATTGTGGATAGCATTTTAGGTTTTAGGTACTGACAGACGTGCTCATTACCTACTAGCACGAAAGCATGCTTTTATATACATATTATTCGAGCACGTCTGAAATATAAGCATGCTATTATCGATTCTGTCTATCGAATTTATGCGAGAGTATTTGCAAATGATTTTTATAACTGTCGAGATCTTCGCTTCACATCTCTGACAACAATCGATCACATGCTCCCAGTGATTATCTTCTGTTTATTCAATTACGAACCAAAATTCTCCTTTTTTTGTTTTTTTTTTATTCGATAGACAGAATCGATAATAGCATGCTAATATGCAAACCTGTTCAGACGTGCTAGGATAATATGTATATAAAAACATGCTTTCGTGCTAGTAATGAGCACGTCTGTCAGTACCTAAAACCATCATGTCTTTTCTGTGCTTTTACCCGAACAAAAAGCATGATTATCTACGTATTTGATGATTATTAAAATCCCTAGTTATAATAATATATACTGCAAACTATTGAAAAACTCAAAAATATAATTATATTTATTATTGTTTTCAATTAAGGTGTGGTAGATGCATCTTCTTCCATATCTTGACCTTCACAAGTTTCATTATCGCCAATTTCCGAGAGATCATCATAATCATGATTATCTTCGGCTTTGTCTAACATATCGTACCAAATCTCAGCGTGGAATAAAGCTGCTGTTTCTACCTCTATTTCTGCAGCTTCCACTAAAACAAAGATAACTTACTTATTTATCGTTATTAACTACCACTTTAACCCACTTTTCAATTCATAGTTATGAGTACTTTGTCAATATCAGTCCAATATCACTCCCATGTAGGCGTAAGATATTGGACTTACTTATTTGACAGTATTATTGTATCAGGCACAATTTCAAAGTTTTTACTAACTAAGACTAAGAATTTTAATCGAGCCGGTAACCGAATCCGAGGCTCCTGGCTCAGTAATCGCACTTGTGATCATTCGACCAGTGAAGTAGTGCGGTGAAGTACCTACTTAAAACACTAACCAGTCAGCCGCCATAATTCACACAATCACGAGTCATTCATTTGTACCAGGTACAAAATGGAACCCATAACTTATACTTATTATGTAGTAGGTACACAGGACCTTATATTATGCAAGAATGCATCGACTTATAGTAGCAATCTTTATCAATCGAATCAGTTATCTATCAACAGGTCTTTAGGATAAAAACTATTAAAACTTACAGCGTAAATTCATAATGACTTCAACATTTTTTTTCATTCGAGCAGTATCAAATTCTATTTCCGCATGAACTTTTTCATAAAACTCGGGGCTGTTGATATCTATACCTTGAATGTTATTCAACTGTTCATCCATATTTAGTAGGTCTCTTCTGTAAATCAATTAATATTGGAAAAATATGTTTTGTTAGCAAGAATGTTAGTTTTTGCATTCGCGCTAATTTCGATAGAACCGGAAAAGGATACGAGTTCCCCTATACTCTTTGGATACGAAAACATTAAAAAAAAATCATAGACGCTTTTCACTGTTGATGTCTATGTCTAATAATGTCTATGGTATACCTATTTTTTTGTACTCAAGTCAAAAAACGGTGCATAAATTATTAGTCATTTTAATAATAAATAATATTAAATAATTACTTCATTACTTATATAAAACATTGAAAATCCACAAAATGTTTAAATAAATTAGTAAGCAATCGTAGCAACATGAACATAACGAGATACCAGATACCACAAAGTATATAGAACTTTTAATTTTTTTTTCCCTGGCAATATTTGGAATATACAGTTAGTTTGTATTGTTTTTAATCTCATAACGCTTTTTCTTTCTTTCTTTATAAATAACCTATAACTCTATCACATTTTTGTTAAAAGTTGTGGAATTTAGCTTTAGTCACATTGCCATATTCATACCATTTTATCTGTCAGTGTCACACCTGTTCTAAGAAATTGTTGATTCCTTCCTTTTTCTGTTTAGTGACGATAGAAACAGGACGTTCGTGTGCATCGGAGAGTTTGTTCACGTGCATTTATTTCTCATTTATTTATTAAATATTTCTAATACTACAGTTGCAAAGAACTCTATAAAAATGATGAGTGACGACGATCGTGATATTGATATCGAAAGTGATGTAGGTGTTTTCTAGAATTGACAGTTCTTTTGTGGTTTATGCTGTGTTTGTTTTGCCAATGATAATATTTTTACTAAATTTCAGGCTGAGAATGATTCGGACTCGCGTACTCATGCCAGGAATAGTGTTGGTGGCAGTGGATACTACTCCCAGGTAACGTCAATTGTCAATTTTATGAATTTCACAAAACTGACATTTCCAAACAATAATTTTAGATGCATGGTATTTTATTGAACGGTGATAATTCTTCATCAAGAGCAAGTGTAATTTGTACAGTAACACAAGTCACTGTTAGATCACATGAAATCATTGATGCGTGGTATTTATTATTCTACCTTCAATTTTACAGGCGGAAAAACGGGCACACCACAATGCCTTGGAAAGGAAAAGAAGAGACCACATAAAAGATAGTTTCACATCTCTGAGAGAAGCCGTACCAGCTCTCCAGAATGAGAAAGTGGTATGTTCAAAAATTGTAAGCATTCACATTTTACATGTGTAATTGATATTTATTTTTAATAATTTTAAGATTTTTTTTGCCTTGTAAGTAGTGCACAAGTGTTGGTTGTGGCATCATAGTGCTTTTTTAATGCTACTAAAAGTGAATTATTTGAGAGCATTCTAGATTTGAATTGTGCAATTTTCATGTAACATCTTATGAGGCCGTGACAATTAATTGAGCTTGTTACTTTATTTTCTTTAATAGCCTCTTAATCCTTAACCCATAAATCCCCAAGCGGTCACCGGTGACCGCTTTCCACTAATATTACATTACATTATAGACTTTTTTTCTAATGTTTAGAGACTACTTTTGTATGACCAAATTTAGGGGGTAGATTTCAACGGGTTAAGATGCAGGCAAAGGCTATATTTCTCATTTAGTTATGTTAGAAGTCCCATTGGTCATTGTAGATTCCGTTTTGAAAACTGAGAATTTCATCTCAATATTTTAGTAGTCAGTAGGTAAGTATTAACAAAGTTATAAAATTCAAGCCTTATCAAGTGGCCATAGAGTTAATATTAACTCGTTGAATACCTTCATTATAGACAGTAAAAGAACAATAGGTTGCGGTCACCGGTGACCGCTCGGTGTTTGACAGTTTTAACATTTTAATTATGTTTAGTTCTTACATATTTATGCATTGTTGACATTGTTTTAGGCCAGTCGAGCTCAAATATTAAAGAAAGCAGCAGAGTACATACAATTCATGAGAAGAAAAAACAATTCACATCAACAAGATATAGAGGACTTAAAAAGACAAAACAATAATCTTGAAACACAAAGTAAGTTCTTTAATTTAATTTCAATAATTATGCAAGGCAAGTAATGGTGGCCCGGAGGTTGAAGATACCTGCTCCTCATGCATGAGCATGCATGGCTTCGAAACCTACCAACGGCAAGTACCAATGTGACTTCCCAGTTATATGTACTTTCTAAAATTATTTAGACACCACTGACCAACGGTGAAGGATAACAAGAGCAAGCATGGTAATTAATGCTCTAACCTTCTCCATGTGAGAAGAGGCTTTGCTCAGCAGTGGGTATTTATAAGCTGTTGATGACAATTATGCAACTAAATTGGAGGTAGTTTTAAAACATTGGGTAATATTGCTCTTCTGATTTTTTGATGTACATAGATAATTTTTATAGAAAACTTGGTGAGTTATTTGTACCAAATGTAATACCCCATATTTATTTAAGCCTTTAAATGCCGACAAAAACTGCTAAAGGCTAATCCTCCGCTAGCATCTGTCATCATTGTCCGACATGGCATCAAATGTGTTAACTGGCAAACTTATGTTTACTGCTTAATTGTTACTATAATAATATGCTACATTTTATTTCTTAAATGACCTTGTTTAAAACAGAAGGTCGAGTTTCAATGACTGCTACGATTTCCTTAGAGGATTACTTGTTAAAGTCTGTGGATAGTTTATTGTGTTAACAAATTGTGTATGAAGATAGTAGCGCTACTATCTTCATACACGTTCGTAAGCATAAGTAAGCGCTTACTCCACTTCTACAACATTCATGTGATTAGCCTCATAATTATATTCCACATTCCATATTTCCGTATTAAAGGTACATCAAGATATCTAATATTTTTTTCAGTACGAGCATTAGAAAAAGTTCGACAATCTGGCAACTATTCAGATGCACACGAACTAGGCCTAGGTGTCAAATCGGAAGGAGATTCACACGACACTGACAGTTCCGACGGGGAGGCGACAACGCGGCGCGTTAAAAAGCTTAAAATTAATGGAGTCATGTCTAGTAACTAAGAAGGTTGTGAGATGAATTCGTCTTAGCCAATGATGACAGTTTCCACAAATAAGATAATGTAAACCAAAATAAAATTACTTTTCCAATAAATGATATTACATATATTTTTGATACAGATGAAATGAAATAAGTAACTTTAATGTGTAGTGTTAAAGTCGAGATTTGTAGACATAGTTTAGCATGCACTTTGGTTAGCAGCTCTCTGTCGTCATTAAAGTAGCAATTCCGTGGCAATCCTACATAACCATCATGTATGCTAAACAATTTTTATTTGTCTCTGGTCATGTGTTTTGTCGTTACTATTACAGTAGTTAAATGTATACAGTCTAGTACTAAATTGAGATGTTTTAAACTTTTTGTATTGTATATAAATACTGTCACTGTACATACTAGGGAGTTAAATTTTGGATTAAATATCATTTTGCATTATGTATTTGGCACAGTATTTTGCTGTAAAATAATAGTTCTTATGAATTCTATATTGCAGACAAACATTTACTTTTATGGTTGATTTTATATAAATTCTGTACTGAATATTTCATTACACTGTAGGTACTACTTTTTTTTAAGAAACATCGTTTATTGTTTTTACAATCATTGCTGAGAATGATTCATCTTTCACACATGTAAGTACTTCGTAATAATAAGCTGTAAGTAAACTTTACATTGAATTTTCTTATTGATCTGTTTATTAATTAATTTTAATGAAAGATTTACTTTTAAGTATGAAGCTAAACATTTTAATAATTACGTTGTTGATTTGTGTTGAAATATTTTAATTCTGATGATAGGTTTTATTACTGGCGCCTTAATAAAATAGTTTTTTTTAAATGTAATTGATACTTCTTTAAATGATAATATTGCGAGATGCAATTCCATTTTAACGTAAATTTTGTAGTAGCTATGCAATTTGTATTAATATGTAGGTTTGCGTAAACTTTGCAATCAAAGAGGCATGCTCCTAATCATTGATTAAGTTTAGCAACTCCGAAATAGATGTTGTAAAGGTGAAAATGGTGATAACAGTCTATTTTTTAAGGAATTAATCTTCAGTACTTGCATTATTGTTATATCTTTTCATTCAGTGAAATGCGGGCATTTTGAGAAAGTTGTTTAGTTAAGTCTAATTGAATTATATATATATATACTTGAATTTGTAATTCTATTAAACTTGTGGTAGTTTTGATGTATTGTATCATCCAATTTACCAAATGTTTTTAAGAAACATCAAGTGCTTTAGTTCCTTAAAAATAGGAAAATAGTAGATCAATAGACAAGCGAATTACAAAAAATCCTCAGTTCGTAATAAAATTGAATATGTTCCTAAATAAATATTATGCTCCGATTTACCAAATTTGTACCCCAATGTTGAATTGATTCAAAGGAATGATTATAAGTACATTTTTTATCTTTATCTTAAATGATTGTAAGATAATTCAATATGAAGTAATAGTTTTAAGTTTTAGTCTTCTTGAACAATAAAATCGAATATCACTGCACCAAATGTTGTACCTACCTACATCAAAAAATGTAATACCGGCCATTTTTACATCTTTGCCGTTTTATTATTTAAAGTGAAGTGCAATATTTTGTGTGTAGTGCATTATCGTTTACGATATTATTTTTATATTTTGTCATCGCAAATAATTCTTAGATATAACTAGTTTTAAGTACCTACCTACATAAGTTAATGTTAATAAGTTGTGTTTGTTCTAGAAGACTAAATCATATTTTTAACGATAATAAACATAAATACTCTCGTTAAACTTTGTTTTTAATTATTCAACCCCACGCTTAGGTACGAATGCATTCTCCTTTTTGCCGACTTCAAAAAAAGGAGGAGGTACCATGTTCGGCTGATTGTTTTTTTTTGTTTATTCGCGCAGTAATCCTCCTTTTGTGAACCGATTTCCAAAATTCTTGTTTTGTTTGAAAGGGTATAACTCCCGAGATGGTCCCATTGCCATGAGGTCAGGATCTGATGGGATCCTAGGGAAACAGAGGGGAACTTTCGAAAATTCTATGGGCAAGTAATGCGTCTATTATGTTTTTCAATTACGATTTTTAAACACTACAATACGATAAGGGTCTGGAGTCGACCTGTGTTTGGGCTTGATTAATTTGTATTGATGAGGACTTTACACCTAGATTGAGTGGGGCTGTCATGTAGGGTCTAATGATGAAGAAGTGTAATTGTTAAGGGATCTCCTCAACGGTATACAGTAACTACCTTATGTTTGGGCTTGATCAATTTGTATTGATGAAAACTTTACACCTATGTAGATTATTAAGTAGGTAACGAAACGGGTATATGTAGCTTTACACTGAAAATAATAAAATAAAAACTGTTTAAAAAACCGACTTCAAAAAACCATAAACTAATAACAAAAAAAAGTCAAAACTAAAAAGCAAAAAATAACTATTATTAGTACTGTTATGTTACTCACCCACTGATAGGTTAGAAGTCGGTGTCGGTTTTTGTTTGTTATTTGTTTATGGTTTTTTGAAGTCGGTTTTTTAAACGCAGTTTTTATTTTATTATTGGGAAGTATGTTTAATATTGAGAGTAGGGTTGCCACCTTTTTTTGGTATTTAAAGTACACTGACGATTATAGGTAAGAAAAAGAATGTACACAATACAAAAATAAAGTACAATTTATTCTTATTTAGTATTATGTTTAAAAAATATATTTTTATTGCTTTTTGCAGTTTGTATTAAATGAGCATCTTTACTAAACAATTGCATCTTTACTGGAAATTGTCTAAGTGGCGCTGGCGATTATCGAAATCGATTCAAAATAAATATATAAATATCGATATCGAATCGATAACTTTACCGTAAAATACTTACGATTTTAATAGAAATGATGTTTGCAAAAATAAGGTATATTTGTGTACTTAATTATTCTTATAAAGTATAGAGTACAATTACATTAAATAACGTAGGTACAATACTTTATTATAAAGTACGGGTGGCAACCCTAATTGAGAGTGTTAAAATCACGTTCTTATATTAGAAAACTGAAATTTATACGAAATGTTTTATGAAGTTCCTCTAGTAGTTCATAGATGGTTTTAGGCGTTATTTGTTGTCTCGCTATGGAACCCCTTGGGGGGTCATAATTTTTCAGTTAAGTACAACAAAAATCATAATTTTTAAGTTACAACTGAAAAATTATGATTTAATTTTGTCGAAGTTTGTGTGTAACTGAAAAGTTATAATTTTTTCAAAAATTAGATGTAAATCGTACCTACATTATTCTTTTTTTTTTAAGGGGGGAAAATTATCGAATGCCTTTACCCGCCTGGGTGAGACGGGAGTGTCAGACTCTTATTGACTAAAAACCACCCCGTTCCTACTCCTGCCCTTCGAGCCGGAACCCCTTATCTAGCTTATTAGGCTACCCCCTTATCTACAGTTTATACCACCTATCCCTTCCCTTAATGAAATAAATTGAAATAAAAATGGATAATGGATGGATTCCTTTAAAATTTAATGATCTTGGGATCTTGCAATGCTTTCCTGTTGCTATATCAGTACCTACCGCGTAATGAAAAGAATCCAAATAAAATAAATGAGCGTCAACATTGTTGCAATAATAAGCTTTTTATTTGCCACCGTCGTCGTCGTATCAAAAAAATTAAATTCATAGAGCTCAGCTGTTCTATTTATTTTATTGACTGTGTACATACAGATTGCCGCGCTTGCACTGCAAACGTTGCGATTCTCTTGTTCATTTCATTCGTTCAGTCGGTCATTTCGTTTATTGTTTGGACATTCGAACGTATTAATTTCGCCATTTTTGCGCTACGTCGGATATTTTCCCGCCAGTTTCGTTGATTTGTTTGTTCAGTCAGCCGTTCAGTTATTGCCCTAATTATGAAGCTCGCAATTTTCCTTGTTCTGTGGTTTGCTTGTCGGTAATTGATAAAAGAAAGAAATGCGTTTAGTTTTTGTCGAATATTGCACATACTTATTAGGTAGATACTTAGGTACCTAATTGTGACATTAAGTTCAAAGTCGTACCTAAGTTGTACCTACACTCTGAAAAATTAAAAGACAAAGGCACGAAACATGACGAAACTGTACCTAGGTAGGTACCTTTTTTTTGTAATGTGTGGAAATCCTCATTTATACCCTTTGTCCAGACAATGAGCGTCAGACAGCAGGTAGGTAGGTAGGTACCTACTGTACTTTATTTTGTGTTTTCATTTAGTGGGCAGATGTACTACCTACCTAACTAGGTATATTTGCTTAGGAGTGTGAATAAAATAAAAAGAAATAATTTAGTTAAGATATTTTAATTTATTTTATCTTCTGTAAGATCACACACCGAGATGTCAGCATCTGTTGAAAAAATAAAAAAGTAATTAGGGGTATTAACAAATAGGCACATTTTTGTTTAAAACTATTGACTTTACTTGTAAATTGCATTTCAAATTGAGGCTAATCATTAAATCCTAATAGATTTTTCTGAATAACTCACGTTTTGCTCACAATCCGCAGCTTCAGTCAGTTGAGTCAAGACATATGCAGGGTCGTTCCTTCTCATCCAATGCTGTAGCAGCATCTATTGGAACATGTTAAATAAATTAGAATCTACATTTTGCAAACTACCGTAGGTATTATATTTTTTTGAGACACCTACATTTGATTCATTAACCCATTGTAAAAGTATCTCACTACGAAGGTAGTTTTCAGCAAGTCTTTACCTAAGTATATGTTTACCCGGGTATTATTTTACGACCATCCCGAACGTGAATTTTTATAACATACTTTACCTATTCTAATAATACCTAACGAAGTGGGCGAAAAAATAATATATATATAGTTTTCTACATTATATTTTAATTTACAGGTCATGTCGAGATGAAGAGAAATGGTGCCTGCGTCACTGTCCACATGGTAGCTGCATCTGTACCGGTATGGTCACAACGCCAACGGTTGGTTGCAAGAACCATAGGAGTTACCAATATTCGAATAAACGTTTTTACCTTTACTTTCGTATTTTATTGTTTCCCCTTTTATTAAAAGCCTAGAGTACAATGAGTCCACCAACATTAAGATGTTGACACACCCAAGCCGCATGTCACAAACAATATCAGGCAGCCGGCCTCGCCCGCCGTGTCCATGCTGGCAGGCCGGCTTCGGTATGTTTACAATATATAGTTATTATGAGATCTACAAAAACTACGCTGTTGTAATGTTTTAGTAGTTAGTATATAAAATTACTAAAACATTTAAAGATTTTATAACTAGATAAGAGAAAACACTTCAAATTTAAGCGTTGGCGTTGTGACCGTACCGGTACAGATATTGAACATCAAGTGCAGCTACCATGTGGACAGTGACGCAGGCACCATTTCTCTTCATCTCGACATGACCTGTAAATTTAAATATATTGAAGAAAACTATAAAAACCACTTGCACGATAGCTACCTAGTTATTCATGGACAAAACACCTATGTAAAAAAAGAAAAAAATACAGTCGAATTGGTAACCTCCTCATTTTTTGGGAAGGTCTGTTAAAAATTATCTGGGTATTACAATTTAGAAATGGTTTTGATTTAAACATTAGGAACTTAAGTATTTATGTAAAGTTTTCAGTTGATTCCGATACAAATGCTCGATGTCTAATTACCTTTTAAATGAATTCTTCGAGTTGCAGGTAATTCTTTATCTGAAACTTGGTTTCGCTGAAAACCTTCATTTCGATCACAAACTGCAGCTTCAATCTGTTGAGATGCATCATGAGCTGGGGTTGTCCCAGCTCCTCAACCATTGCAGCTGAAACAAAAGTCAAAATCAAAATCAAATGATTCGGCCATTCTAATATAATAGGCATGGCGACTATTTTTTAATTTTTGTCCGTCCTTTAGATATTTTAAAAATCTTCGATACGTATTTTTTCTTTTTTCTCGTATCCAAAAAAACATGTAGATATTTTGAGTTAAAATGACGCGTGACGTCACACTTAGGTACGATTTCTCCGTAAGTGTGACGTCAACACCCCCCACTCCCTAACTTTAATGCGGAATAACTACGTATTCTTCTGTTAATTTGATAAAACAAAAAATACGTGTCTGATATTTTCGTGCGATCTTAATGACGGACTAATTACTTTTTTGATTTTTTTACCCTGTCGACACGCCTATTACTGAGCACATGTGCATATGCACACACTGGATTAAACTTAGTACTTAAAATAAATTTAAAATAATTACGATCTAAAATGGTTTTCATTTACACATTAGGACCTTAAGTATTTATGTAAAGTTGTCAGTTGATTCCGATACGAATGTTAGACGTTTAATTACCTTTTAAATGAATTCTTCGAGTTGCAGGTAGTTGCTTTATCTGAAACTTGGTTTCGCTGAAAACCTTCATTTCGATCACAAACTGCAGCTTCAATCTGTTGAGATGCATCATGAGCTGGGTTTGTCCCAGCTCCTCAACCATTGCAGCTGAAACAAAAGTCAAAATCAAAATCAAATGGTTCGGCCATTCTAATATAATTACTGAGCACATGTGCATGTGCACACACTGGATTGAACTTAGTACTTAAAAATAAATTTAAAATAATTACGATCTAAAATGGTTTTCATTTACACATTAGGACCTTAAGTATTTATGTAAAGTTGTCAGTTGATTCCGATACGAATGTTAGACGTTTAAACTGTCAAACACCAAGCGGTCACCGGTGACCGCAACTTATTGTTCTATAATTGTGTCTACAAAACCGGTACTCGACGAGTTAATTAGGTACCTTTTAAATGAATTCTTCGAATTGCAGGTTATTCTTTATATGAAACTTGGTTTCGCTGAAAACCTTCATTTCGATCACAAACTGCAGCTTCAATCTGTTGAGATGCATCATGAGCTGGGCTTGTCCCAGCTCCTCAACCATTGCAGCTGAAACAAAAGTCAAAATCAAAATCAAATGGTTCGGCCATTCTAATATAATTACTGAGCACATGTGCATGTGCACACACTGGATTGAACTTAGTACTTAAAAATAAATTTAAAATAATTACGATCTAAAATGGTTTTCATTTACACATTAGGACCTTAAGTATTTATGTAAAGTTGTCAGTTGATTCCGATACGAATGTTAGACGTTTAATTACCTTTTAAATGAATTCTTCGAGTTGCAGGTAGTTGCTTTATCTGAAACTTGGTTTCGCTGAAAACCTTCATTTCGATCACAAACTGCAGCTTCAATCTGTTGAGATGCATCATGAGCTGGGCTTGTCCCAGCTCCTCAACCATTGCAGCTGAAACAAAAGTCGAAATCAAAATCATTCTAATAATATATTACTGTGCAGAAGTGTATGTGCAAAACTTTGTACTTAAAAATAAATTTACAATAATTACGATCCAAAATGGTTTTCGTTTACACATTCGGAACTTTTAAGTATTTATGCAAAGTTTTCAGTTGGATACAAATGTTCGATGTTTAATTACCTTTCAAATGAATTCTTCGAGTTGCAGGTAATTCTTTATCTGAAACTTGGTTTCGTTGAAAACCTTCATTTCGATCACAAACTGCAGCTTCAATCTGTTGAGATACGTCATGAGCTGGGGTTGTCCCACCACTTCAACCATTGCAGCTGAAACAAAAGTCAAAGTCAAAATCAAGTGATGCGTTCATTCTAATAATTGCTGTGCAGATGTTTCAAGTGCACACACAGGATTGAACTTTGTACCCACAGAAAATTTTACAATAATTACATACGACTGTATGGTACTGTAGGTTATTATCACAGATAACACTACACATAGGAAACCACACTATACAGAATTGCAGATAGGTACTTACTCGTAGTACCCACCTAAACATTTTCTTCTTTCCAAACTTTGCATAAATTTACTAAGTACAGTGGCCAGCTGCTCAACCTATTTATTTCTGCCAAATTTCTCTATTACATCTTTAACTGTACTGTATTGACGATAATGTCGAAACTACAATGAATAAATTTAACAGATTGATCAGTAGATTGATCTACTGGCCACCGTACATGTGCAAGATTTGGAAAAAGAAACAGAGGTAGTTCAAAAATTTGTTGGATGGACGATATCATCAAAATCGCTGGAAGCAGATGGACGAGGGATGCAAACCAAGAAGTATGGCGGAAAAAAAAGAAGGTCTGTACCCAGCTGAGGGTAAATCGGGGCTGATATTAATGTTGATGATACATAGGTAAATCAAATACGGGAGATAATCACTGTAGAATAGGATCACTTCCTATATTCCTACCTACCTGTATTATTACGCTTCGTTCTTGCAGTCTATGGTGTATCTCCGAAATTTCCCCGGTACTAGGCTAAGCTCCATAAGAAGCTTATTATGCAGTCGCTATGAAGTCCAGATACAGAATGGCAGCTAACGTGACGGTACCCATGAATTTATACGATTTGAGTGATTGAACAAGACAGAGTGAACTACTTATAATAAATTGTGGTTTCTGTCGGTAGATGATTTTTTTCAAATACCTGAACTAATAATGTAATATGGGAACGTGAAAATTTTCCATAATTATTATTGTAGGTGATTCATTTTTCAAATACCTTAACTGAAATTATCTCAATTTAAAAATTATTACTCTGAACAAATTAGTTAATCATATTGAATAATGTTTTCAATAAATAAAAATTATACAAGACGCTCTGCTCAGCTCCTATTAATCGTAGCGTGATGTTTTATAACCTATAGCCATCCTCGATAAATACGCTATCCAACACAAAAAGAATTATTCAAATCAGACTTGTAGTTACGGAGATTAGCGCGTTCAAACAAACAAACAAAAAACAAACTCTTCCGCTTTATATAATAGTATAAGTATAAGTTAGGACAAGACATACTTGTGGCAATTACCTTTATTCCCACATAATATTAGGTACATAAAATATGGATTGAAATTTTGTTTGTAGGTAATATATAAATATAAATAATGATAACTAATCGTTAAGCTTTTACTATGACTTGCAGTACAAACCTTTATTAAAATAGTAGACCAACTTTGTGAGAGACGGTAATAATAAATTGTTATGAGAAGTCTTAAACTGATCGTGTAGGTAAGCGTCGTGATGGCGCGGAGGTATATCTTGTGCATGAGGAATTGAAACCTACCAATGGCAAGTACCAATGTGACTTTTTAAGAGATCTTCTTTCTAAGATTATTTGGACACCACTAACAAACGGTGAAGGAAAACATCACGAGGAAACCCTATATAATTTCTACTTATAAGTTTGTAATCGCCAACCCGCATTGCGCAAGCGTGGCGAATAATGCTCAAACCGTCTCTTTGTGAGAAGAGGCCTTTGGTCAGCAGTAGCCAGAAGGTTGCTGATGGTGATGAATGGAGCAGAAAAGTACATTACGTATAATTCTATAGACTCTCTATAAATATCAAATTATTTAGCTAGCTTCTGCAATAGACTTGGCCTACGTTCCGGGGATAAAGTTAAGCCTGATTTCAGACTAATGTGTCTCTGTACAAAACATTCAGAGGCTCTGAGTTGCTTTTGGATAGAACTATCATATACTTACATCCTCACATACTTTCACATCATCTATTAAATATTATAATTACCTATTACGAATTAGTAATTGTGGTAGATGCTTAATTAGGTATTTTGTAATAACTAGAATTATATTATGCGGATGCGGGTGGATGAATATCTTCTATCTTGCTAAATATCTATCTCAACTTAATAACACTTTCAGTTTTCTGCGGCGAACATGATGCCATAGATATTTTTATAACTGGTTATTTTGCATTAAAGAGTTCGTACTTAAATAAATTTATAAAACAATGGCCATTTCGCTTGATAAAAATTTTACAAAAGCCTTTAGCATGAATAAAAAACATATCAATTTTTTTCTTTGTGATTCTAATGGCATCCGCCTATTTTTTTTTGTTTCAACCAGTTCTCGTTACAACGCGCGAAAATAGGTTTTAGGTATATTACTTATATCCTTCTTAATTTTGGGACACCATAATGTAACTTCAGACTCTTTGTTACGTTAGGTTGTGTATGGATACCTACTACATTGATATAATATCATAATATTATATTTTTTCTGCTCTCTGTCTCTGCCTCATTGGCAGAGTGGTCGCAACTTCGCAAGTGCGATTGCCGGGCAAGGGGTCTCGGGTTCGATTCCCGGGTCGGGCAAAGTATTATTGGGTTTCAAAAAATTCTCAGTAGTAGCACGGAGTCTGGAATTATGTCCGGTATATGGCAATAGGCTCACACCCTATTACATGGGACTCATAACAAAAATAGTGAAAAGTGGGTGTTACATTGTACAGTGGCATAATGAACACCTCTGCCTACCCCATCGGGGATAAACGGCGTGATGTTATGTATAAGTTTTCATGGGTTCAGTTGGCGTTAAATACTATTATTATCTTTCGTTCTGTAGGAAATAAGTAGCTCAGAATAGGAAAATATTATTGGTTTATAACAAAACTGGCCAAGAGCATTTCGTTACCTATCAAATTCATCATCACCCTCATGATACATTTACTAGCAGTTGGTGTAATTTGGGTACTACCCACACATTATTATTACTCATTTACCTTCAAGTTTACGGAATAAAAAGCATATAGGTTATGTTATCATATGTTTATTATCTATGTAGCCTAAATAAACTTACAAACATTACCTTAATTCTTATTTATAACAGACATTAACAATTAAACGAATAAAAACAAGGAATGATTAATAAAATTTAACGAAATAAAAAATATGGTACATATGAGTGTTTTATGATCGGGATCTCCTAGGCCCGTATTAATAAACAGATATCAGCGTAAGAGCGAGATGTTAAGATCCTGTTTGATATTCCGATTCCGACATATTAATAAACAAAACCTAATACGCGGTTTAAAACCTTGTCATCACCTGAGATCTTGTTGTTTAATAAACATTACTCGGGTTTCAAAATCGGTATTAGGATGGTTATCAAGACCACGATTGTTAAGTTCAGTCGAAATATAACATAAAAGGTGTATCTCGGCACATTACATACTTTTTTTGATACTAGTAGCGTTATAATTACCTTCGTCTCGACAGATAAGTCTGTGGATTTTTGTGGATTTCTCATTAATGGCCTTATTTCGTCACATAAATTACGTACAAGTTCTTTTGTTAGCCTATATCGCTTAACAAATTCCGTGTCGTCTAAATGGAAAGACGAACATTCTTCACGCATTTGCATGCGCCGCCGCTTCCTGTTATTATGAATATTCGAGGTTTCAGCGTGATCAGCCTCCAAAAATTCAAAGCTTTCGTGTTCATTTGCCATTTTAGAAGTCAACAACAAAATTATGTATCCGTACACCAAAATCACTACAATACACTTAACACAATTTTAATAAACGTAATTTTACTTATTTTGTGCCGTTTTACTCACTTTATATGTGTAAGCAATACTTATTTTTCAATAAATTCCGCAAATCAATGTTGTTAAAGTAGCACCGGAGCAACTTATTTAAGA